GTTGAGACAACCCTAGAGTCTAGTAAGGTTCCTTTAGTGTGTGTATATATATATACGGACTACTAGTTACTGTTGGATTGACTAGGATGTATACGTGTATCGGATCTCTGCTTGGACTGTAGTAGAGTAGAACTTGTTTGTGAGCCTGACCCACCATTATTTTTCAGGTGTTCGTCAGGAGTAGAGGTTGTTCGTGCTGAGCGGGTATCAGTCTACTTCATTCTTCCGATGTTACATAGGAGTTCCTTTATAATTCAGTTTCCTGATTTAGACAGTTATTACTGTCATTTGTTTAGTTTGAATTTTCTAGGGGTCCACGCAGTATGGATTCCCGAGTTGTATTTTGGAGGATCAGTTGTATCAGAAGAGTTTATTAATTAATGGAAATATATTCTGAGGTTTATTATTAGATTATCATTTTAGTTTCTTGTCAACATTTTATTTATTCTTCTTTATTCTTTTGTACTCTGTGTTCGTTTATCATCAATTTGTTTTGATATCATTGGGTATTCGGGCGTGGGCTTGGCCAACCCTCATTCGGAATTCCGAGGGTATCACATCCATCTATTTTGATAATTGTATTTTTATAAAACAAAATGAATGGCCACTCAACTTTTCTAAAGTGTGTTGCAATTCATAATATTATTTTTTATAGAACTTAGAGTGCATGAACCAAGTGGGAGATTGTTGGAAATTTTTATATATATAAATAATTATTATTATTTTATGGTCCTATGCATTACGTTTTTTAAACAGGATTGCAATTTGCTACCTTCCAATTTCCAATTTGATACTTGATGGATTGGATTGTACTTTCCAATTTGGTGGTCTAATTGGGAATATGGTTTTATAAAGTTGGATTATGGTTTTCTAACTTATTTGGTATGATTTAGTTCTAGCCATTTATATCTAAGTTTTCATGATAAGAATGGAGACTTATGTATGTTTATTTGTAGAGAAGTCGTCCCCCCTATTATTGTTATATATAAGGGTTTTAAACCCTTATTCAGCCCTATCGAAGGACAACTCCCAGAAGAGGGTAAAACATTCTAATGTTTTGCAGGAATTCTAAGGCTATTCTCCAAAATCTAAAGGTATATGTGCGTTAAACGTCAATCAGGTACGAAACTAAATTATCTCTTTAATTAATTATAATATTCTTGATTTTTACGTGTAAATTATTTGATTAAAACCCAACATTAACTTCCAAATTCATTGCAACTCAAAAGGCAGTAGAAGAATAGGAATCTAAATGTGGAAAGTTATGTTCGGTTTCTTTCTACTTTCCTTCAGTTTCAATTTGCAACTACAAAGGTGCAGTGCATTCCTCTTTTCGCTAAAATGCGCCTCTAATGTGACAGCTTTATTCTCAGTACGTATATAAAATATGAGGACAAAATGATGATAAAATACTAGCTTCTCTCTTCATGTGATCCTAGTATCAAATGGAATAAAAGATCCATAGCATGGTTTGTGCTTTTACCTTGGAGGGGTTTATGGGGTTGTGTGCACTACTTTTTGTCTACCCATTTTGCCATTTTAAAATACCCCCTCCCTCATTTGACCATTTCATAAAAATTCCAGAACAAGTCTCCCATCTTCCTAAATTTAGATAACTTTGCATTAGTATTTTGGTAAAAAAAAAAAAAAAAATTTAAAAAAGAAGGTATCCTTTTCTTTAGATGTTACTATGTCATGACACCTTCTTTTCCTTTTCTGTCCATCCAATCACAAATATAATCTTCTATTTATGGGAGGGTCGTGGTAGAATATCATGGAATTTATCACTTTTTTCTACCATATAATTAAGCAAATATAGAAACTGTGTATGCCTCCCAACTAATGTGGACACTGATAAAGGTACTCAAGAAGGTGACAACATCTTATAACTAAAAATATACTAATTTGAGATGAAAAAGTATGTTTATAATTGAAAGAAAACACTATATAAAATATTATTTGTTAGTGTTATGCACTCACATCATTCTCCTTCACAGTCTTTTTCAATCATTTGGACACATTCCATTTAGCAATTGGCAGTGGCAAGAATAGAGACTAGGAGCAACCTCTTGCTTCCAAACAAATTTTGCTTAATTAGTACCAAGTCATTTAGTAGGATTGTTGACATCGATAAAAATATATATATTTATATATATATCAGAAATTTTATACCAGGAACATCTTTATAACATTCCATGAAAATCAGCATATCACCGAAAACAATGTTCATCGTGATATATATATATATATATATATATATATATATATATTTGGAAATGGTTTTATATATTGATTTCATTTGTAATGTTTCACGACAAATTTTTTTTTTTTTTGACAAACAACTATTAACCAATGGATCATGGCTTAGAGATGTGTATAAGGTGTGGGTATTATTCAGGTACACGAGGGTATTGCACATTTGTACGAGTCATGTTAAGTTATTAGGTAGTATTAACAATCCAATTTATATTAATTTCGGTTTCATTAGAATTTGGATCCCGGACAAGTTCGCATAGTAACATTATTCTTTGTTTGAGCTCTGTATAGTAATTTCACATTTTATCTCAGTAAGTTTTTTTTTTTTTCTTTTCATTTTTTCATTATACGGTGATATAAAAAGTCATTCCACCATATAGACATTAGTTTGCAGGTGACAATTGACCTTAATTACTTTTATCTTGACAAGAAATTCACTTAACACACCTATTATTCCTTACATAGGACTCAAATCTCTCCCCTCCTCACACCCGGGTTCGAATATTTCCTCTCCTCTTTGAGAATGTAGAAGTTATACCATTGATAAATACCCCTTGATTAATTCCGTATAACATTTGAATGCCAAGATTTTAAATAATTTAGTGGGTTTTCTATAATTTGTCTTTCATACTATAGTATAAACTCTATAAATTAATATCCGATAAATTAATAATTTATTTTAAATAATAAACTTTCGACTTGGGACAATGTACTAAATTAATGATTTCATTACATTTATAAGATAATACAACATTTCAAAAAATCCCTGATAGGTTTCTATAGATCCCACTTATTATATAAATTAATAATTTGGTTAGAAGTATAGGACGGACTATAATGCATTGCATGCACTTGATTAAATGAGCACAACACATTAAATTTTACTGTATTAAATAGCAAGTACAATACATTTAATATTTTACTTGATTAAATAGTAAGTACAATATAGTAAATCTTTAGTTGGTTAAATGTACTTTTAATTGATTAAATAAGTACAATACAATGAATTTTAATATTAAATTAGTGCAATGCATTGAATTTTTATGACTATTGAGAAGTTCTCGCTTAATTAATAGAATTTATGTGATCTCAACGCTATTAATTTATAAAAGTTATACCGTATACTTAACTATTTTGGAGAATTATTTCAACTATATAACCTACTGGTGAGGAGAAAAGTCCTACACTATATTAATCTGTTTAATGAATTGTGCTAGTGATCTAGTAAGATACTTGTTAATTAATCTAGTTATAAATAGGCTAAACTGAATTGGCCCATTTAAACCTTCATAATGGACAACATATTTATATCAACATGGTACCGAGGTAAAATTTTAGTAAATAGATAATATTTGTGTCAAGGGTGATTTCTTTTCCCATTTAATAAGGGCTTGATGTCATTAACCAATAACAAATGTCGTGATGTGATTATTGATATATATATTTTTTTTACAAGGTAAGAAAGGTTGGAAGTTAAATTAATAGATGTAAAGAGTCGAAGCCTATCACTCTAAAATTCACCGGAGACACTAATCTACTAGGTCATTGAATATTGGGACAAGAGAATTATATGAGGAGGGATATAATGAAGTATTTTAAAAAATAGACTAAAAGCATTGTTAAGATTTTAACAAAAATCATAACTAATTTTGTAAATAAAAATAATTTCACTAGGGCAGCAATCCCATTAGTCGAAAAAAAAAAAAAAAATAACCCGTTGTATTAGTGACTAGGTACCACCAACACTCTAAAAGGTTACGTAGTGATAGGACACACTAAAATAAAACACTTAAACGATACAATATGTAAAAGTATTAAAAGTACAGGAAAGTCTTTTTTTCTCACTAGTCCCTTAATAAGTCTAGTAACTAATGATGTCAGGCACAAGAAAGTATACAATACTCTGGGGTTGGAGTTGGGGTTGTATCCCCCTCCCAATAAAAACTCCTCATTTCTTTACAAGACTGTTCACTTCTGGATTATCAAGGAAGTACATGTCAAATACTCCGGAAATATTCACTCCGGGAGTATTGTTTACTTATCTTTTTCTTGAAAAGGCCTTTTCAGTCGAGATCTTTTGGCACTAAATCTTCCAAAAAAAATAAAAAAATAAAAACTAGTACCGGGCAATCCCTTTTTCATCCACAAGACATTATTTTTATTCCTCCAAAAATCATTAACCCAACCACTTCTGAAAATTAGAGCTAGAATTTTTTAACCCAACATGAAATGAAATAGTTGGCCCTCATTTAACACAGCTTAAGCACCAATCCATTGTAGATCAACCCGTTTTTATGAATCCCGTCCCCTATGCGATCGATGATACAGAGAACAGAATAAATACTCATAAGAGCAAAATATAACCCAACCAATCATATACCGAAGAATTATACAATCTTTCATTTTTCTGTTGAAATGATAAAATAGGATAAACATTTTGGCGATCACAATACACCCTTTTTAACCAAAGGAATGAAAGTAAGAAATTCCAGTGGTCTCTTTAAAAGTAATACACGTACAGATATCAACTGTATTTCAGTACATTGAATCACTCAAACCGCCAACACTATATTATGAAGCCAACAAAATAATGAGTCCAACATATACAGTCAAAAACCAATCCCAAACTCCAACTCACGCCATAATTTTTACTAAAAAGGATATTAAAAGAAAATCCATCCTATTGCGATACCTCCAATATATACAGTCAAAAACCAACCCATAAACTCCAACTCCCGCCATAATTTGTTAAAAGGATATAAAAGAAAATCCTTCCTATTACAATCAAAAATGTCCATTCGATTTAATACACCAGGACATCTTTTTCAGGATTATCATCCAAAAAAACAAAATTTATTCATTACTTGGTCTTTCAAGGCCTACCACTGGATTGATTATGATAAAAAAAAAAATGCAAATAATAAATTGAAAGATCCCCATTCTCCAACCATTTACACCGAAAAAAGAAACATAATAAATACATTAAACTTGAGGAACTATGTGAAATCAACCTCCTAAAACAAGAAATTTGACTTGGATCAACAGGAGGCTTCACTAATATAAGAATACATGTGAACCTGTGAGCACTTGAACCACGAGTCCTGAGCCAGATGCAAGAGGCTCTCCAAGTCTCCTTGACAGGCAAAAGAGAGTTTATCCAGGTTCTGATCATCATATGTAAACAGGCTTGACATCATTAGCCCCAAAACTTGCTCCACAAGCTGGGCACTTGCGATGGCGAGTTTCGATAATTTTTTGAACACAAGGATTGCAAAAGAGGTGGTAGCATTTTGTGATGACGACCTGAAAAAACGAACATTTCTAAGCAACGACCAAGACAAGAAACCAAAGCAGAGAATAAAAAAGAAATGCAATAAAAACATAAAACAGTAATACATTTTTTCCTTTTTCATACTAAATTTACATATTATAATATTTAAAGCGAAGCACCAACCATGAAAAAAGGACATCATTTTTGGAGGTATCCTATTCTTAGATCCAACCTCAAAATACATACAATTCCTTGAGATATCTCATTCCAGACACATCAACATGAAATGGCACCTGATGCCCAGATAAAGGTCTCAATTCATCAACAACAGAGTTGCCCATATCCATCACCATTAAATACAAGCCTTAAAACGAGGAAAGGAGGGGAAAAGAAATAATGTAACGTAATGGGACTACAAAGTTTGGTAATCTCATAATTCTCACCCAAGGAACAGCCACCAGAAATATGTGCTTGTAGAATACTCTTGAGCAACAAACAAGGATAATGTAACCAGTAAACAACAAAGATACTAAAAAGGTAATCCGCCACCAACATGTTCGATAGAATTTGGCGAGTCCTTTAATAAATTTCAGAATTTAGGCAAGAATGTTCATCTACCTTAAGGATTTATGCCCCTGAGATTTTCAAATAATTCATTCTTCTTTAAAAATTTGAAATTTTACCACAATATATTAAATGGTCTTGAGCACTACCTTGGGAAAAAAAATGGTCTTGAGCACTCAAATTTGTCCATGTGTGAAATTCATCTTTTGCAAAATCTTACTTGTCAAAAAAAAAAAAAATTAAGATCTTTTTTAACCTATGTCAGACCCAATTTTCTTAGTCTATCTTTTTCTTAAAATGAAGATTTTATGTGAATTGCTTGCTAAAAATAGGTACTAACACTGCACTCAATATATCTATGTGATAAAAAGAACTGTAGAAGGGTGAACAACTCATTCATTTGCTAGACAATATAGCCGGGGCTGTACCGAGGGATGCATACCGGATACATATAAAAAAACCACACAGAGCTCATAAGATGTCCGACACGGATAGTCCACATGCATACTCAAGCTCCCATATTTGAGATGTTAAAAAATAGTATATTGCATACTAAAAGTGTATCCAAGTGAATTGCCACCGATAACGTTCCAAATCCAGTCATATTGCAAAAAGAAAACAAACTAGATCACTGGCTGTTCCACCGATATCCTCTATTTGGTATTAGTATTCAAGTTAAAATCCCCGCTACCTTATTTACGCATCACACTCTAAACATATAACAGTGAAAATGTTACCATTTGCTAAAGTAAAACATTGCCAATGATACATAATATAAAGTAAAACAATAGAAATTGAATACTTACCTCTTTTGGCTTGTCAAGGCAAATACTGCACTTAAGTATTTCCCTGTACTCGTTGAGTTCCTGTTGAAGCTTTTCAACTATTGATGACCCCTCTGTGTGTGTTCTTAGACGTGAAGCCTTTCTACGCACAACTTCCAATTCCTCCTCTATTCTTTTCTTCTCAAACCTAGTTTAAGACAAAATGATAGGTTCAGGTCTTCATCGCATTGCAGATAATACAAGGCAAAAAGAAAAAGAAGAAAAAAGAGTGCTTTTTCCACTACCTCTCTTTCTCTAACTCTATCTGTAACTCTGCAAGACCCACTCGATTTTTATCGACTTTGGACTGTGATTCCTCCAATGACCACATCAGCTGCTGAGATGATTTTCTCACATCCAATAATTTCTTTTGTGTATTTTCCAAAGTAGCTGAATTTTGAAACCTATCTTCTGCAAGTTTCTGGACTTGGTCTGAGCACTTATTTAACTGCAAAGCAAAAATACTGCTAGTCAATATCAATAATTTAGGGTTTACACTGCCGAAACTAAATGGAAATTCAAAAACCTGATCTTCAATTCTTGCAGCTTTCATGTCATAAAAAACCAAAGACGTATTGGTCTGCTGAATTGCCTTCTCCAAGGTTTGTTTGTCCATGAGTAGAGCATCACGTAGCTGTCTTGCTCGCACTCCCTCTAAAACAAGCTGAAACAGGATGCCAGAAACACATGATCAATTTCTAAGAATATAAAAAAATTATTTCACAAAGCAGCCTGTAGCAAATATGAAAGTGAAAATTGCATGAAGAAGTCTCCAAAAAACAAGTATGCTCATTATACAATTGCAGCAGTAGTTTTAAAATTGTAATAAGCAAACACTTAAAAATATATACATACAAGAATTCTGTAAGACACAACAGATCAGGTTGATTCTTTCTTTCTATGCAGTGAATGCAATGACCAAAAAATTTTAATTGGCTTGGTAAAAGTAACCACTTAATCATTACAATACTTTTAAAGTGTTACTACGTCACAATAAGTCAATCAACCATATAGAAGTTTAGAAACAGCATCATATTGGATATATATCCTCATAAGTTGATAAACAGCGTCATAGTACCATACTAGCAATATAACCCAACAAAATATTTGCAGAAGTAAAAGTTGAGAAAATTTTGAACATAATTAATTATAAAAGCCTCACATTCTGCAGTCCAAAGCATAATTTCTCAAGCAAAATGGCCACTGGCCATATGGGTGTTTTATTGTTGCGATATCCAAAAGATATGATCTTCTTAAGGGACCATACAAACATCAAAAACTTCATGATCCAACCAAAAAGGATCACGTGATTCAGGAGAAAATTCAGCCAGATGACATTTAATAGTTTAAATGTAGTAACTCTATAAATTACTATATGTCACAATTTTTCAATAAAATTTTTTTTGTAAATAAAATCCACTAAGTCTGGAGGCTCTGACAGATATTAACAACCCTAAGAGGACTTGAAGATCCAGTTGACAGATATTAACATAGGGCCGCCAAATACCAAAGGGTGACAATGCTGCTGGAGTGGTTATCACTCTGCCCTTGCAGCTGTCAGGAAGAAATTTGATACACCTTACTTTAAATTTTTCATAGTTAGGCAGCAGTCTCGAAGAATAATAGATGAACATTAAACATCTATCTGACAAGTTCTATTGAGAATCCATCAGTAGAGTTCAATGACTCATTACAAATATGTATCTTAAGATATTACGATTGCTCAAAAAAATATTAACAGAAAAATTAGAAAATATAATTTTGCACAACCAAATCTGAACAGATGCTTGAGAGTAAAAGAATGAAATAAATGGAAGAAGAAACTTAAGAGTATTAATGAAGCAATCAATTAACACTCTAGTTTCTGTCAACAAACAAACCATCACAGAAAAAACCACATAAGGCCCAGTGACTGCAACAAGGAAGTATATAGAACATCTGAGAACTTCAGAAAGGAGGGAGTGGTGCTGCTAACTAATCACCTTGATGTTATAATCATCTCTCTCAGTGATTTGCTGCAAAAGGTGCTGGTTTTGAGTTTGCATATCATCATATGCCTGCCCAATAGTCTGAAAAGAAAAGGAAACAAGAGAAATAATCTTCGGACTACCACAAGCATACAAGACAGAAACCCAGTCATAAAATAAAGCCGGAAATTAACCTCTATCTCAGATAGGTAGGCTTCATTTTCCTCGTGTTTGGATTTCAGAGAATCAGACAGTCTTGACTTCTCTCTGAAATAGCAAGAGAAAACAATCATTCAAGAATTTTCTTCTACAATAACAAAGGAATGCAAGAGTGTTATAACCCCTATAAAATTTATTAACTGTATAATGCAAATACCCAGTAACTTTTTGAACATAAACTCAATCAGAATATAGAGATAAGCCAACAGATGAAACAATCAACACGTCAAATGCAGCATAAAAGAACTAATGCAACCAACAAAATTGTAACTCGAGCACCGGGAGGAATTTTAAAGATCAGGCATTAGCAAAATGAGTACACACCCCACTCAACAACAGTGCATGGTATATCATATATCGACGCTCAATCACAAGAAATAGCAAACAACTACACGGTTAACTCAATCCCCAGGAATCCCAAGACACGGGATACGAGCTAATCTTTTCTGGAGGGAAAGCTGGGGAAAAGCATAATAGAGCATGCGGACTTAGCTCTCTCTTTTCTTCTTTGTTCTCTTTTCTTTTTTCTGTGAGGGTTTTCTATCCCCAGGGGATGGGGGTTAGGGCATGCTGGAGTTAAGTAAGTAAATTATTGGTTTTTAACAAAAAAAGGACCATATAGCATTCTTTTTGGAAAATTCGAGAGTAAATTGCAAATTTTTCTCTTATAGTGGCAGAGGCGAGAGGAAGTCAGATTGAAAAGGCATTATGAAAATGAAAGAAGATGCTGTAAACAGTAGCAAATGATGATAGCCTTCTAGATAAACATCAACGAAATATAAAATGAACCTTTTAGAAGCTTCCAGTCTCTGTCTCAGATTGGCAATCTCTGCTTCTGCCGCAGCCAGCCTTTGCTGGGAAACAGCCTCAGCTTCAATTGCTGTTTTAACTCGGAATTCCAAGTTGTGTTCATCGAGAGAGGACTTCAAGCTCTGAACATGAGCCCAGGCTTTGCATTCAGAATTCCTCGCTTCTAAGACATCCCTGCAGTATCCAAATTAAATTCTGAGGACAATGAAAGAATGTTGAACCACATGTCAATCATTTGAATTTCATCATTTCAGCAGTCTTAGTAAAAGGATCAAATTGGAAAACCGTATCCAGATTAGTATGTCCATGGTGCACTGCTTAGCAAATAGACATTATAGAGCCAGAGGCAGCAACAATTACTCACTTTACAAGAACAAGCATAATGGTCTTTATTACAACTTCCAGCATAGGTACAACTTGCAACTTGCAGAAAGATTAGTCAAAGAAGTCATAATCATTAGTGGAATCGAAATTTAGAAAGTCATTATATCCACAACATGGAATGTGTATGAATCATTGAGCCAATCAAATGCATTTTATTTGGTGATTCCACCCAAGTCATAGAACACAAATATTAATAATACTTTGCACGATAGGCAAATACTTCTATTAATGCGGGTAAGAAATTTGCGTTTTTGTTGAAGGAAACTTCATATACCTCCGAAAGATTAAATCTAATTATCCATAATCCCTTATACACATAAAGATGTAGCAAAATAACAACAGAAAATGCTTTAAAAATTACAACTCCTACAATAACAACGTGAAGTTAAGTATGATGGTTTGAAACAAACAGCAGAACAAAATTGCAATACTCCTAACAGCAGAACAAAATTGTTATATTCTTCTTAGGCCCTGTTTGGAATGGCTTTTAAAAGCCATTTTTGGCTTTCTAAACCCAAAAGCAGAAATTTAGACTGGCTTGGCTTGCTTGGGGCAAAGCCTTCTAGAAGAGCATTTGCGAAAAACTGGAAGGTACTAGCTTCCGCAGAATGCTCTTCCTAGAAAACAAGGGAAGCTAATTCCACTTTAATGAAACTTTCATAATTCCTTTCCTACAATTAATGCTTGTAAGTGAAAAAATAATATTCCAACCCCATCCTGATTATGTTCTGCAAACTCCCCGTAGAGAGCCAACATTCTTCTCTTCTCCGCCCGTTTGCGACTAACATTGACTTCTGTTAAAATAATAGTTTCAACTGGAGCTTTCTCATCTCTTATTCCAAGTCCTTGGTTTCTTGGTTTACAATCTTGTAGAGCACTCTAAAATTAGGGTAATGAAAAGAAAAACCTATTGTTAGTGTTGAGAGTTTGTGTTTACAATCCAAACAGGGCCTAAGATAGTAAAAAAAAAAGTGATAGCTTATGCTTCTTTTTTATTGTACACGAAAGCAAAAGCAAAAACAAAAGTTATGCCAAAGGAGCCCTAACAATAATTGCAACACTTATTCATATATAATTTCATTGGGTTTTCGAAGAGTGCACTAGAATGGAAATTATAGAAATATACACCATAACAAACCAAAATCTTGATCCCTGCATTAAGAAAGGGAAAAGCCAAAAAGTTTCCGAAAATTAGATGGCATGACTTCCAAGGGGTTAATGCAACTTATGCATCAATCAAGGAACAAAAAGTTGGTGGAAAAAACAGCCTACCTGACATACTTTTTTTTTCCCGCTAAGTGGTATAAATATATTTTGATTCTTAATGATACCTCAAAAACTTCAGCAATTCAGTAGCACAAAATTTCACCTGTTTTTATTCGTAATTTCACACAATACACCATTATAAACCAATTTAAAATGGACTTCTTCCTCCAAATGAGACAATTTCATTAAGTATTTTGCCATGCCTGCATAAGGCCTTATAAGGGATAGCAAAAAGTTCTCTATAAACTCAATAAATAAACTCATGTCCAGAAAGACCTAGAAAACCACTCATATATGCAATTTCCAAAAGAATAAAAAACTAAACTATATATTCCATGTAGTTTTCAATCTGGATATCTTATTTTAGGTAAACAACCCAAATTTTCAACATATGTTCTCAAAATTGCAAATGTGAAGTTACAATAAATAAATAAAATAAATTTTTTTTAAAAAAAAAGCTTTTAAATCGACCTAGCATAAAACTCTTTTCATTCTCGCCCACATTTCACCGGGGTCACTGAAGTCCGCTTAAAAATACCTTAAATCAACAGGGCCCCATATTTTTTTTAATTTTTTTGATTAGTACCCACCTTTGGAATATACTTAAGTTCTAATCATTAAAATGGAAGGACAAATTACAATTAATTGCATTAATTATTTCCTTCAAGAAGCTGCCTATAAAATGATTTGACTAACCACATTATAAGATCACACTAGGAAGCACGGACACGACTAAAAGGGCAAAGAATCCATGACAGACACGCCAAAAAAATGTGTGTGAATTTTTATTTTTATTTTAATATTTGGACATGCCGCGGACATGGCATGGACACGCTGTGTACACGTGCCCAAAATGAGTGTCCCATTCTTGGGGATTATTTTTTTTTTTTTAGAAGGAACTTGGGTTTTCAGAAAGTTTTAGAAAGAAAGCAAGGTTCAAGTGTAAATATGAGGAGTCGTTTAATAGCTTTCATTAATATGATGGTCATTACATAAAAGAAGTTTTTTAACACAATATTATAGTAAACAATCAGATATTTATGCTTATATGTTAGTTCAAAGGTTCAAACTCTTGCACAATCATTTTTTACTCTCTTGTTCTCCCACCGACCAAGCTTCGCTCTCAGTGGATGGTCCCTCTCTCTCTCTCCTCGTTCTCCTCTTTTCTCTCTTCATCTTTGTCCTCCTCCTCTTCTTTTTTTTCTTCTTCTTCACAAACCCTAGATGCTACTACTTTTTTTTCCTTTCGCAACAAAATTCTTACTCTATCTTTCCTTTTTCCTCTTGTTTCCATGAACTTTTTCTCTTCTACAGATTTTTACCAACTAAGCCCTAATTTTTCTTTATATAAACACTAACTAAGCCCTGATTCTTTTTCTAACAAAACCCTAATCCTCTTTGTTTCTTTGTTTTCTTCTCTTTCTTAACCCTCTTTCTATCATTCTCTCTTTTTCATGGCAAAGTACAATTTTTTTTTTCATTATTAGGTTAATAAAAAATAATATTCTCTTAATTTCTTAAAGTAAAACATCATATATATATATATATATATTTATTTATTTATTTATTTATTATTCGCCGTATCCCTATCCCGTATTCGTATCCCTGTCTCATATTCGTATCCGTGCTTCTTATAATTCACACAACATTTAATTCCAAACCCAAGCTAACTTTATTAGCTCAATTCATTTAAATTCATACCCCCAAAAGATTTTTTCCACAAATTAAAAATCCTTAATGCACCAAAAGCACAATGGGATCCATGATCACATCCCCTTTATCCACCACCACAAGACATGCATTTATACATGGATGATATAAACCACCTTTCTCCTCCTACTTGCTTCTCCCCAGAAAATCAAAACCACCTTTCATTTTTAATGGAGCAATAGGATCTCATCAAAGCTTTTGAACAACTTCCCAAAATCAATCGTTATCCCCTTCTATAATCTCCCATTACGATTTGATCTTCCAACCGATAAATTATACCCTCTTATCTATCCCCAAACCCCCCGGGAGAAAAAAAGGATTTCTGTAGGGAAAAGAACAGAGGAGAAAAGAGGAAAACAAAAAAAATATAGAACAAGTTACAAATATCCTACTCCCAAATCCCAAACTAAACTCCATAAGATAGCAAGTCTACAATCCTAAACGAAGAGAATTTGATCACTTATAAAATGTTGCAATCAACAACAGTATCATATTCAATTTATAAAAATAATTACATTTCCCCCACAAGAAAAGTAACAACAAGGGATATCAAATTCATTTGAATCAATGTAAGCTTTACAATTCTTGTATAGATCATCTGACCTCGAATCAGTGGACTCACGTCTATACATTTCAAGAATGAGCTTCAACTCCAGATCACTCTCCTTCAAATCATTAGCCTGAACCAGAAGAACGAGAATCACTTAAAAATAATATTCTCCAAGTGGGTGCACATTTGCACTAGAAAGCAGCAACCCAGAAAAAAGTTAACTTTAAAGGAAAATTATTCGGAAAAAACAAACAAACAAACAAAAAGGGGGGGGAAAAGAAATGAAAAGAAAGAGAGAAAAGCATGTGAAACAGAGAACTCGGGAATTAACAGGAGGCATGCCACTAATAGTGTTGTTTTGAATTTTTTGCATTCTATATTTCAACTTAGTTAAAAAATGATAAATATATGTAAAAAACTGAAGTGGAGAACAATGCTAATGTATCATAAACTAGGATGTCTTAAGCCTCATATTTTGTTCTTCACCGTTCAAAAATGCTGATGTAAGAATACTTCCAGTCCACAGCCTACAAAATTGAAATTTCTGGCATTCCAATCTTCGAGATATAACTACGTGTGATCCACAAGAATTCAATAAAGAATGCACTTGCAATAGCAATGCAAGTCAAAACCATCTGTTCAACATATATGCATCTATTCACATCTATTTACATGAGTAGTGCCACATAAGAAATATGATAACTCTGCAGTGATGATACCCAAGGAAAAAGGTAAATTACGCTGACACCCCCTGAGGTTTGTTATAATGACAGTCATATATAAGTTGGGCCTTTTTGGAACAATGACACCCCTCAAGTTTGGTAAAGTTAACAAAGACACCCCCAGCCATCATCTGCCACATCTAACACATGGTGAATTCACATTATTACCCTTTGACATATTAAATTACCAATTTAACTAATACAATTCTTTTTGATTGACCAAAATACCCTTTAAAGTTGAGTCTCATTTTCTCTCTCTACATATACATACAGATATATATATATGCATAAAAACCAATCAACCTCCACCCCACAACCACTACCCAGATTGCCAACACCACCCACCACCACCATCGCACACCCCCTCTGTCTATCTCTTTCTCCATTCACCACGGTAATCTCCACCACCTCCCTCCACCTCCACAATCCCACAGCCCCCTTAAGGGTCGATTGCCCCTTATGGAATTTAGACCACACACAGTGACAGTAGTTTCTTTCTCTCATCGCCCTTTACACCATTGCAATTTCAAAAAGCAAACCAATACCGGAACACCATCCTATTTGGCTACCTTTTTCATAAGCATCTCCTCCATTTGTAGACCCCAATGAAGACCCATCTCTTCGTTTAATTTTCATCCTAATACAGACCCATCAGTACAAACACAAACCTTTTCGGATGATATCAATTATCAGAAAAATCACAAACCCACAAAAAATAGAAAAAAAAACAAACACAAGGCAATCAATCAATGATCGGTCAAAGTAATAGGGAAAAAAGACAACCGATTAAATTCTCGTACTCAGTGAGGGTTTGGTTGATCTGGGTATTGGAGCCCCACCGGCAGTAGCACACGGAGAACCAGAGCTTGCCGTCATTTTTGCAAAGTGATGCGGGGCGTGCCGATGTACAGGCAAAGGAAGCGATCTCAGAGGGTAGGTGAGGAAATCTTGTAAATCGCGATTGAACCCTTTCACGAACTGGTCCACTATATGAATCAAAGTCTCCTCTTTGTTTGAGGGTTGATGATGCAAAGCTTGTATCAGATTTTCGATGCTCTTGCTGTCGATCCAGTCTTGGATCTCCAACTCGATGGTGGGTGGTCAGTGGTTGCAGTGGAGAGAGGGAAAAAAAAAAAAAAAAAAAAAGTGATGGTGGGTGGTGTTGGAGTAGACAGAAAATGTGAGAAAATTATATATTTATACAATATAAACTCACATATATATATATACACACACACATAACCAAGGGCACAAGCGTCATTTAAGAGTTATGATATTTTACAATTTAAATCAATAAAATATTGAAGGGCGACCTTGACTTTTCACATCCTTTAGAGGGTTTGGATCCAATTTCTGATAAGGGGTGTCGTTCAAAAAAGGATCCAATTTCTGATAAGGGGTGTCATTGTTCAAAAAAGGCCCAACTTGTATATGGTTGTCATTATGACAAACCTTGGGATGTCATTGTAAATTACCCTAAAAAAAAAAAGGTTGTTCAATTAACTTCTTAAAGACATTACAAGGAAAATTGCTAAATAGAAGATAAAGTAATGTATGACATAAAAATGCAGGCCCGATATACGGAAGTAGATTGATAACCACTATAGAACACAATAGGTCTGAAATCTAGAATAAAACAAATATCTGCCATTAAAATTTAATTACTGCTTACTGCTGAATGAGATCTCATCGCCCCACTTTTTTCCCTCCATAATCCATATATGACGTAATCGGTTGAAAAATGTAATAGTTACGTGTATGACATATGCAAGTCAGGATATATAATACAGTTTCTATGATCCAAGCACCCCATATATAGGTCCATCACAACCAGCTACTACATTTTCACTTAATTGTCAGTGAAGAAAACATGTGTGCTTACCAATTAAAAATAAAAAGGAGAAGAAGAAGGAGAAGAAGAAGAAGAAGAAGAAAGCAACTGGGATAAAAGAATATGGCATCAATTTAAAATGACAAAAGGTTGACTAGTGCACCTACTACAACGGAAAAAGAAATAACCTGATAAAATTGAGAAAAAAACACTGGAGGAAGAAGTTCCATGCAACTCAATCCAACTAAGTCTTTTTCCCAACTATTTGGTGAGAATTTCCATGTTGTTCATAAAATATGTACTAAAGCAAAACCACCAACTAAAAGGTTACTTATCCTTGTGTAATAGAACAATTGATAGCATCTCTGGGGATTTTATTATTTTAATTTTATTTTTCTTCGTTTTGGGATGGCTGGGTGGGGGTGGGGGTGGGATATGGGGGGTATCCACTACTCTCATCCCCTGGTATAAGAAGTTGGTTCCAATTGCTATACCAAAGAAAACTGGAAGTCCATAGCATCATTCTAGCTTCTGTATTTAATATCAAAACATGGGTTCACCCCATAACAGTTCAGGAAGGGAGCACACATGCACCTTGGATAATTAAATTTGTAGGATTCAACCAAAATATGGATTCATTCACCAAAACATGTTTGATGGGAATTAATTATTTAACGATAAAAATCCCACCCTCTAAATGTGTTAGGCTGCTAAGGGTGCAGTACAGTGGTATCTTACTATCTCCTCTACCTCCTCAAGTGGAAGGTGAGGGTTCAAGTCACCATATCGAAGTCTAACAATTCAGGGACCATATGGAAGTCTAAAAAATCAGTTCCCTGAATGACCCAACACAGCAAGTCACCACTATGGGTAGGAAAACTAAAACAAGGACTTCTAATTTCAGATAGTTTCGCCATTCTTCCTATTTGTACCTTTATAATCAAGAAGAGGGGTATAATTTATTCCTATCATATGTTAGTGGAATTAATGAAAGGTTATATCAAACATATCAATTTACAGGGAAAAAATGCCCAAATCAAGTAAATGTAAAAATTAGATCGTTTTGCGGCACATGCAAGGAAAAAGGATGGGCTGCGTAATTCTTAATAGGAAAGTGAGAGTTAGTCACACAAAGCTCCAAACATTGTATCCTAAGCCAGTACACACTCAAATAAGCTTTACAAAGCAAACTAGAAACACCATTGATAACATTTATTTATTAAGATCAAATAAGAGTTGAATACAATAAAGATGGACACAACAAACAAAACAAATTCTGTGAAAAGATTATCAAGTCAAATAATAGAGAAATAAAATAAATTCAAGGACAACATGCCAAGGAAAACTATGGCATGGCAATTCTCAAAAAGTGGAAAACGCAATTTCACATCCAACCATGGTTTACACCAGTGACAATCACTACTACTTATCTTCAAATAATAAATTAAAAATACCTTCTGAAAAAATAATAATAATAAGTAAAAGAAAAAGTAACATATTATACCACAGCATGCAACTTCTTCATTTCGGCAACTTGGTCAGATGATCTAGCAGACAGAGTTTCCAACTCTTTAGCCTGTTTGAGAAAGCAACGGGGTTTAGACCTTCAACTACGTCCAAGAATATGCCGCATGTTTATCAAGGATACCTACCTTCCTATCGAGAACACTGGAAAGAGACTCGACATCAGCCCGCAGAGAATGAATGTCGGAAGCAGCATCTTTGTATTTACTTAGTTGACTTTGCATACTGCTCATATCCTCCGGAAATGAAGAAACCAAAGCTTTAAACTCTGCAATGATTTCCTTCCTACCTGAAATGAAAAATCTCTCTCAAGATAGCAGTAGATAACGTCATAACAGGAGAAGGCTAAAAAGATTGAATGAAGATCAGAACAAAAAACGTCATGTCTCTTCATACCAGGTTCTTTTGATGCTTGTTCTAACTTAGTTTCAATCAGATTTCTTTCATTAATTTGTTTCTGTATCTCTGAACCCAGCTCAGTAATTCTAGAATTAGTAACTGCAGAAGATCGATGGAAAACGTCAACTAAATCATTTTTCATATTCATTTCTTTTTCTCGCCAGGCAAGGTTATCTTTCTCAACCTACAATTTCAATAAAAATAGAAACAGTCAGCATTAAAACAAGATCATCTCAAGAAAATGACATACGAAGGCATACATATATGAAACTACCAACCAGTAACAACCTGTAGTTTCTCGAATAGGGCTTGATACTGGACAATATGTGCTTTTGACTTTGAAAGTTGATCTCTTACCAAGATATAGGCTTGGGAAGAGGATATACACTTCACATTCTTCAAAGTGTTCTGCAGGCAGATGTCACCGAATAAAACATGGGTGAAAAAGTAAGCTTTATTTATTTAGGAATCCTATGGAGAACAAAACAAGTATCCATGTAACAGAAAACCAAGCAAGGGAAAGTCAACCTGCAAATTAGATAACTGCTTTAATATTCCTATTCTTTCTCCATGAAGACGCTTGAGTTCCAACAGGCGACATGAGACTTGGTCCTGAGGATGAATTCATGTTATTAGATACAATTGTGAGCTTCAAATCGACAATAAGAGAACCATAAAAGAAAAAAGGAATTGCAGATAAATTACCAATAATTTTTTCAATGCAGACTCCATATCTTGCAAATCTTTTTGTTTATCTCTAACTTTAGCCTTATCACCAGAAACATGCTTGCTCCCCAAATTTAAGACAGGGAAAACTGCCCCCTTCGCTGCATCTCTCTCTGCTTTTAGAGTTGCCAATTTACAATTACTTTCTTCTAATTCTGCAATGGTAATCTCCAATTCCCCTTCAAAAGAACAAAGTAATAAAAACAGTCAAACTTGTAGAACATCAACTGATCATCCGGGCCATTAGTATAGGTGTACAGAACATAATATTATCGCTCATAGGGGGTATAATATTATTTGGAATCAACCAGACCATCCATTCCCTTAATTGATGTTATTTTCTTCTTAGCTTGGCTGGGTTTTGTTTTTCCTCGTTGGACCTTTCTCAGTACATAAGAGGATATGCGCCCCCCACCACCCCCCTCCCACCCAAAAAAATATTTGTAATTTATGTTAAGATCTATACAATTTACTACTCAGAAAGAAAAGAAGCACGCAAACAATTCAATAAGGGTGAAGATTGTTCATCAGTTGTCTATCTTCTCTATCCACCGAACAAATAATTCTTTTAGACCAATGTTGAGGATATACCCAGCTTTGTGAGAACTATCAACTATCTCAAATAGATACAATAAAATTATCCATGGAACTGTTCATTCATAAGCAACTAGCCTTCAATTACTATAACGACAGAAGTCTACCAAATAAAAACAAGAAGGAAGTCAAATGTCAATGCAAATTTGAAGGGCATAAAGGCTAATATCAAATGTTCAGGAAATGTATGATGACCAGTATTTTAGGAGAATATAATGCTTATGGCAGGCAATCCACGGAATCTTATATACAAGAACAAAAAACTAAACAGTAGCATCTAAAAGTGAGCAGACTATTATGGCGTGCCCCTCTTAACACACTAAAAACCATAAATGAAATTGCATGAAAAACTGCACGACTTAGCAAAGCAAGTATGATCGATCATGTGAACGTACAAAAAGTATAAATGTTTCCCAGAAGCATCAAATCATCAAGGTGGTCAAGTCAACATGATGCAACACTAACGGTATGGTGCAAGCTCTACATTTGCTGACAATTTCAAAGCTAAGACATTTTTCTCATCTACAGTTCGTCACTGCATGTGCATCTTTATCATGTAGTAGTATTTTTATGATTTAATAGATTGTACTTTTCCTTTAAGTAGGTTTAATAGAGTATAGATATATGCAATCATGCTTGCATACATGGATAGCATGTTATTTTTATTTCATAAACAATGGTTTCCAGGTACTGCATGGTTAAAAACAAAGGATGCATCTTTGCAACTCCCTGAAGCTGATTTATGGAGATTGTACAACCAAATCAGCCATATTAACAGGCAATTTATTTTTTATTTTTTATTTTTTTTATAAGTAACAGGCAAAAATATATGTGTGCATGCATAACAAGCCTTTGTGTTGGAAAATATATTTACACAAAGACAGGTACACAAAAAAATATCGTGTAAGAAGACAACAGGACACTTCTTCACCAACTTCCTGGAATTGAAACACAGAATTTATACCAATCCAACTCCCAGACTTCCATATATAACACCCAAATAAATTTAAGAAAAGCATCCACATATGCTCATATACCTGAACAAAAATAAATCTTACTGATCTGCATTCTGTGACTAACAGATTAAGGCCTATCCTTCAAATAACAAATGGCATTAAGTCCCAACTAATGCCTTCAGCCTTATAGATGAAGATACATAAACTATAAACAATGAATTGTCATAATATAGCAATTGGTACCCCCTATCCCCTGGGAGAGAGAACCAGGACTTTGTAGCCAAATCAATACTCCATTTCAGAAATTTGCCCGAGTGCTTAAGCTCACCCTCATTACTTAAACATGCAATCTTAGCAAATTAAATTACAAAATCATGCATGACAACAAGCACCACACTCTGATCGTGTTAAATGTTTACCCTTCAAAAAAATGATGGTTTTATTAAGATCAAGAAGTCACCTCTTAAACGTTTAAGCTCAGCTTTATCCTTTGCATCAGTATCTCGACGATTCTGCACTTCCCTTGCTAATGATTTGTGCTTCAAATGAAGGTCACCTAGTGCCACTCTCAGATTCTTAACTTCTGTCTTTAAATCAGTGGACGTCTTTTGCTTGCATGAAACTAGAGAGAGAAGAGCAGCATGCACAAAAAAACTGAGGAAAAAACTCAAAATGAAATAGGCTGACAATAGATATCACAAGAAGTACATATATCCATTAATCTTACCATCTTCTGGAAGTGACTTCAAAACTGCAGTATATAATCCATCCTTCAAATACCACAGTTCATCAATGGCAGCTACTACATTGCATAATATGTTCTTGGTCTTTTCACCAGTTGTTTGTCCATCCTCTTCCATCTGGTTCACGGAATTATTTGTACAGCTACTGTCAGTCGCACCTGTTTCTAAAAGTCGGCTAAGAAAAGCATCCTCCAAGTGAGATGAACCACCATCTAACAAGCAATCAAAAAGGAAAAATGAAAAACACCCAATCAGCTAGTCCATCGTTATGCAACTGGCACTTCCCAGTCAATACAAGAATACAAATTCAAATAGAAGTTAACGAAAACATAAACATTCAATCCATCACCACTAGCAACAAGTATCAAGGAGTTTGGTGATTAATTACTATACAATTGAAGGAAATTGAAAGAATCAAAATATTCATAATGAGGAGATTTCGCAACTTCTTCCTTTTCTTTTCTTTTCTTTTCTGTTTTTGGGTAGGTGAGAGACACACACCTAACACACTCGCACCCTCTGCTGAGTATTGTCCCAATGGAAACTTAATCCTCGACCTCCCAAGTTGGAGAGGGAGAGATGCCACTAGACTAAACCCTTGGCAGTCAGATTTTTTAATTCAAGACCAATTAAAAATTTCATTTGGATTTGGGACAATGGTTGAAATGCTTTTGAATACGATTTAGCTAGGTAAACGATACAGTAGAGCTAAATCTATTGTTGGGTGGGGGACAAGACAATGATGATGGAGTAAGAGAATGCATGATGGTGGTTAAGAAACCTGGAAATTCACAAGGAGATATTATTGACAAACAACAGAGGAGATGGGGAATGGGAACTGAAGGTAAAATGGACATTGTAGTTCTGTCATTAAGGACAAATTTTGCCAAACCCCAAAAATACGCTCACAAATAAAAAATGTAAAACAAAGTCTCCAGTATTATAACTTAAAATGACATAGATTTTACTTTAGAACCTCTTCAAAAATATAAAACAAGATTTTTAGAACCAAATACTTATCAAAACAAAAAAGAATAAATTGCATGACATAATCTTGTGAACATAGTTGTCAAAATCTTATGAGTACAACACATTCTAGAGGTTAGTGGATACTCAAGGAAATATGTATCTCCCTCTGCATGCATCTTAAGATATATTCGCAAATGGAGTATCAAGATTAAATTAAAACTTTTGCCTTATTTTGTTTTCTTGACAAAAGATCTACAAACTATAGTATCTAGAATCTGCCATCATTCAAGACCCCTAAAAATGGGGCAGACAGATTAGTGCACTTGTCACATGTATTTTAGACTGACACGTGAGAATTTGCCACTATACACCCAATTCTAAAAACTTATAAAGCTGTAAACCAGAACTTGGAATATAAAAGATGTTGTAACACATTATAAGAAACTTTCAATATATATCAGAACACGTAGAGTGCAGAACTTTTCCGACTATATCGTTTTGTTCTTTCAAGTTTATGCAGTAGAATGGAATCTCAAATTCAATTAACTGATCTTAGTAATGAAACTCTTAATGTTAGATCTCAAGAGAAGTGAAATTTGATGGTTTATTTCCCATGTATACGAAGATTTCTTCTTCCATCTTTCTATTTCCATTAATTAATTTTTTTTCTAATTGTAGTTTCACTTCTCTATGAGTCAGCAAGGCGCCATAACAGAGCCTAGAGAATATTTGTTGGATGTTTTTCCTCACTATATTCAATTTTTCAATTTATTTCTTGAATTTCAATATAGAATGTATCTTACTGTACAATCCAACGCACAAACCAAAAGTGTAGAGTTCAATATGTGATAAGATACACAACAAAAACATCTACGATCCCACATCAAATGGGGTGCAACGGTACCCTCCTGCTTGAAGAACAACCACGTTTTGTGATTCTCTGATTTTTTTTTATTTTTTATTTTTTTTAAAAAAAAAATAAAAGGAAAATACTCGCAGTCACACCACTTACCCACAAATGCCCACTATGGGGCTCGAACCCCTCACCTCCCTTTTGAGGGAGGAAAGGTTATACCAGCTGGACTAATGGCCCAGTAGTGTGTGATTCTCTGAGTTGGGATCTCATCATCGTGATATTGGTCTCTAATCACAAAATTGATGTAAATCATGCTGAAATTCTTCAATATAAGGGGATAAATAAGGTCAAAAGAAATACAAAAGCAAAAGAGAAGAAGAATAACAAGGGTTATGGAGGGCATGTAAGAGAAACGTATAGAAATATGAAATTACAAAGAATGATAAAGAATTGAAGAAATAAAAAGAAAGAAGAAATTTCAAGAGATGCATAAGGAAGAAAAACTAAAGATGAATAAAAAGGGTGAGAGAGAGAGAAGCTTTAAACGCCCATTTAATTAATTTTTTTAATATTAGTGGTTATTTTTGTTTATCAACAAGAACACCTGGTTGACGAATTTGAAGAACACTAGAAGCACTCAAAAAACATTCTTAAACCAAATGTGACCACAATTTTTTATTTACAATGACAAGAATTGAATCCTTACCATTCCTTCCTTTTAGAAATACAATGAAAGCATTTTTACTACCAAATTACATAGGTATGGCAACCTAATATGATCAAAATTTATTACTTAAGTAACTAAAACCTCTCAAAATAAGAAATGATATAAGAATTCATAGAATTACCTAATATCAACCGAACTCCTAAGCATATAATTTGACATGCCACATTTTTTTAAACAAATGTCAAATAGAGTGCATTAAACACCCCTCGGTTCCTTAATTCAAATGTCCTTTTTTTGACTAGTCAATCTGATGAATGTACTTCTTGTCAAGAATTATAGAAATTACTTGCATTGTTCAAAACCTTTTCTAATGTAGAAAATATGGTATCACCTAATTAAGTAAAGAATGGCTGAACAAGGCAAAACTACTAAAGACATATTTCTGCTTCAAATCTGATAATGAACACAAACAATTCAATTTAAGTTACTTATAGACAAGCGAAATGTAAGATTAAAAAAAATAAAGAAATTATGGAGTGATGATAAAAAGAAATAAATGACAAGTGCAAGCCACAAAATCCTCACCCTCTGTAACCGGTTGATGTTTAATATCTTGTACACAGCTCATCGGGCGTCTTGTGCAGATGGAACATGATTCCAAGTCACCCACCAGCTAGTAAAAATATGGAGTTAATTTTCCATCAACCAGTATGGGAAGCATATGAAAAATGGAGAAACAATGATTCAATGGCAGGCCAAGTAACTACCTCTTCCCACGACTTATTGACCACAACTAAAGTGTTATCATGCGCCTTTTGTTTCTCCCTCAGTTGAGTAAATTTATTCTCAAGAACAACACATTCAACCTTCTGAACTTCTAGCTTCTGAACAAGCTTTTGATTTTGAAATTGAAGTACGGCTGTGTCCAGCTACAGCATGAAAAAGAAGGAAAAAAATAGTAACTAAAGTAAGCTTGGAACAAACAAATTAATTACACTAAGAAAAACACGATAGCAATATATGCCTAAATCTTTCAGTAGGTATTCCAGTTTATACTTAATCCAGGTAAAGAAAAATTAGAACAGTAACTTAAGTTGACTACCAAATAACATTCAAACACCAATTTTCCAACTATGACAAGTAGATTTTTTTTTTTGTTTTACTAAAATGACTTCCCCAACAGAGTGTTCAGAAACCTAAAACTATTAATTGAAATTTTCATACCACCAAACAGTCGAGCCTTCGACTAGATGAATGACTTAAAGCAAACTCAGTGATGGCCAGTTGCAAATTAGTGTTTATCGTATCTACTTATAGTCTTGTCTTCCTGGACATGTGTAAAGTAATTTGATGCAGGCAGAAAATTGATGATAATAAATTAACATTTGATACTAGACCAGATCCTTTCGATAAACAATGTTTTAAATACGCTACAAAGTCGGGACCTTAAATGAAGCATGATCATCGACTAAAAAATAATTAGATTAAATTGGAAAGAAAGGGAGGGAGAGGGAGAGAGAGAGAGAACTGGGATAATGATTTCTTCAAGACAAGTGAAATTATATACGATCAAAAATCGTAATTTTAACTGCTATAAACATATAGGTCATCTGATCATAAAAAGTGCATAAACCTCGTCCAAATCTTACTCTTACAACCAAAACCATAACGATCACTAGAAGCAGGACACTGCATTCGAAAGGGTAGTGTACATCAAGGTTCAAAACCATACGAAATGTGAAGCAGTAAATTGATTTGTAATACTCCAGGGAAGTCTATAAGAAATTTGGCTGAACAAATATGAGTGGTAGAAAAATCAGGACACCATAATAATGTAAATTAGGGAACAATTAATAGGAAAAAAATTACTTTTACTACGTAAGGGACCATTGCTTCCTAACTGGTCAAATGTCCGGATCTCAAGCATGAGAATGAGGGTATGAATCCTGCTCTTTGAGAGCAGACCTTTTGCGCAAATAATGCAAAAGGTTACGCCAGTATCCAATCCACCCCTCTCAGCCCTCTCAGTTAAATGAGAACCGTACTAGGTAATGAACCTTCACATTTTACTACATGAATTATTTAAATTTATAGTAACATGCGAATGAATTATTAACATGATGTGGGGAAACACTGCTGCAGAAAATATTTCCAGTTTTGTGGACCTTCCAATATTTATGCAATATCAAAAACAAAAACAAAAACAAAAAAACACTGAAATGCATAAACCTCGCCTCAATCATAGGACCTCACATACAATAGTGGGTGTTACAATAAACGAAGCAAAATAAGAATCACATCAGAAAAGTAAACACACCACACACAAAGAACACGAAGATTTACATGGTTCGGCGTAAGCTTATGTTTGGTGAAGATCTGGCAAAATATTTCACTATGTGAAAATCAGGAAATTACAAGTTTCAGCCCCCAAAACCCTAGCATTATCTCTCTCTTTCCTGCGGTATGTTTTCAGTGTTGTCTCATTACACGCCCCAAACCCAAAACGCCCTTATATATGGGCTAAAAGGAATTCTAGAACCAGGTCCACAACCCACGAGAGAAAATCCAGGTCGAAACAGGTCGCAATGAGACCCGGCCGAAACAAATTTCGGCCCACAACTTCACGGTGGGACCTCAAGAAGCGTAGCCACCAACCATAAAAACTCACTGGTAGTCATGAAAGCTCTCTAGCATTAATGAGCAGCACTACCTCACAGCATTAGTGGAAGCTTGTGGGCAGCTACAAGCTATTTTCTATATAATTACCAATCAATTTGAAAATAACTTGTCCTTTCAATCATTTGCTATAATAAAGTTCGCAACCCATTGATAACAAATTACCAGACATTAAGGCTGGCAAACTTTTGACACTTCCCATTAAACTTCCATTAATACCAGAAAGCTCATGACTGTTTTTTCTTTGATAAGTAAAATGTATTAGAAAGCGTTCAAAAGGGGAACGCGTCCCGAGATATACACAAAAGAATCTATGAACTCAAATAACCCAAAAAGTCCACAATGTCCTCTAAAGAAGAATAATCCCTCCCCCAACCCCAACAAAAAAGGGTACAAATAATAGACAATTTCAGCTCTCCAATAGAGGACTCCTTCCCATCAAAAGATCTTCTGTTCCGCTCTTTCCAAAGACTCCACCAAACGCAAAGAGGGGTCACCCTCCAGAAATCTCTAGCCTAAGCCCCCACCCATTGGCCCCTCCAGATATCTAGCAATCCTCGAGAAGTCTGAGGCATGACCCAGTGGATGCCAAACAGACCAAGCAAAAGACTCCAACAAGACTGGAAAGTTGTCAATAACTCCAGCAATCATCCATTAATTCCCGAAATTTACTATCTATCTATATTTCTTTCCCTAATTCTTTTTGCCGCAATCTGCTGGTAGAAAATACACATAAATTGGAAGTGATTTCTGCCACAGTGTCATTCATACTTCGGTAGTTTCTTCTTCCAACCAATTCTTCAATTTGGAAACTTTTATTGCGGGGTGTGAGATTGTAAACATGTTTCCCTATAATTCGCAGAGCATTCGAGTTTCCTAAAAGGTATCTAGAAGTTCCCCCAATTTCCCATATCCCCGAGAAAACTGTTTTACCTCCAAAATCTGTTCAAAACTTACCAGTAAACATATCCATTTATCAATGGTTAATAGGAAGATTCCTTTAAAAGATTGTATAAGGATGTGCCTTCAATAAAATATTATATAGAAAATTCAACTAAGTATTAGTCTCTAGCCACTAGCACGAAAGGTTTTTTTTTTTTTTTTTTTTGCGCAACATTACTAATAAAGGATTTTTTCCCTTCATCCAGCTAAAGTAGTCCTGTCAAGAAACCAATAATGGTAAGAACGGAATAGTTGTAAATTCAGCTCTCCAAAAGCTACACGCAAATAAAGCAATTACACCATAAAGCACGTTACGGCAAAATTTACATGCAATCACTATAACCGATGAATGTTGGTCAGTAAAAAATAGAAACGTAATCAAGATTCAGACTAATTAATCATGCAGGAAATTGTTGGTTATGACAAACAGGTTAGCAAAATTAAAAACTCATTCACCAAAGAACATAAATGAGAGGATTAAAATACCACAAATGCCTAAATTTACATAAAAGAATAAATCAAGAAATGTAAAAATGCCAATAAATTAGAAACAAAATAAGATAAAGATCTCACCTTTTTATCTTCAGATGTGGGTAAGAAGGGCTGTTTTTTAGGACTAGCAGCTGTAGGCGAGATGGAGCTGACGTGACGTCGTTTCCGGTCCGGTTCACCTGTGCTCCCCATTAGAGACAGACAAACCCTAGCCCTGTATACTCACTAACATCAAAGCACACATCAATTGCGCCTTAGTCGGCCAAACAGCATAAAACTAATCGCTAGTATTCATAACACGGATTATGCATGTGTGCCGTTATCAAAACCCTAATTCGAGACCAACGAAATTTATCTGCTTCGAAACCCTAGTTATACATAGATTGAAGGGAGCATAGTATAATTGTGCAGGAGTTATGGGCTATATATTTCGCTCTTCTTCTCTCTGTAGTCTGCTCTCTCTCTCTCTGTGTTTGTTCTCCTCACTCTCTCTTCTCTCCCTCTAAACTTGCGGTCATCTGGTATATCTGTCTCTCCCCCTCTCTCTCTCTCTCTCTAACCTGAAGAGGGGAGAAAAATATAATTCGCATGGTAATTAAAAACAAACAGAAAAATAAATTTCATAAATTTCTTAAGGGTAATTTTGCCATTTAGCAGTCCTAGTGCGTACTTGCAGTTTTCCGAGTATCTGGTCCATGATCACGTCACGTGGACTGTAGAGATGTGATTGAATGGCGGAATCTCATTGGACCGTTGGAAAGGACAATTGAGCCCCTGTGTTCATAAGACCGTGTTCGGTTTAGTTAATTAATTGAAGAAAATAAGAAACCACAAATCATATAACCCAATCATGTTTGAAAAAATAAATGAAATAAATTATTTTAATGAATGACAATACTTACATACTGATCTATAATAATCGAGGATCTGGTCCAAACATAATTACATACATTAATTGCAAAATTAAGAAAGTAATAAATATAAAAAATAACTTTTTAAATTATTTTCACTCCCTCTTTTTTTATTACTTTCCTAATTTTATATATGTATTTGTGGTAGGAACGCATCATATTTTTTTATTGGACTGTACCTGACAATATGAATCACACACTCACCATGATTAAGTAAACATTGTAGTTTTATGAACTATCGTTACACTCTTTCAAATAACAAATATACTGAGTTTTTTTTTTTTTTTCTTTCTTTCTTATTTACCTTGACTAAAAACTCACTCACGCTTCATTTTGTCTTTAGAGAGACTCGATTTTTTATTTAAAAATGTAAGAAAGTACCATTTGGATGGGTGGTATGATTAACAAAAATAAATAAATAAATACTGAAAAAAAAAATTAATGTTTATAAAACAAATATATATATTTTTTTTTCTTTTTCTATTTTAGACTTTCTATTTAAAATGTAAGAAAGTACCATTAGGATGGGTGGTATGATAGAAAATATTGGGAAAAAAAAAAAGGATGATAATTTTGTCTTTTACAAAATAATAACAAAATTTATATCAAACAATTTTCATTAAATTTGCACTAATTTCTTTCTATTTTTTCATTTTTAGAATATAACAAAATTTACTATCATACCTAATTTGTCCATGTAATATACTCTAATTTCGTCATTTTTCTTTCAAAATTATATACTTAACACAATATATCATTAATTTTCACTACCTTTCTTTTTTATTTTTGCATTTCTCTAACGAAACTGGCCTAAATTTTTAGATTTTAACCTGCCAATCGTGTGACTTGTGTTTAGGGATGACAAAACACTTTGTCCCGTCCGGTACCCGCCCTACTCCATCCCATTAAAAATTGTTATAGAAGTGGTTAAATAGTTTTGGGGCAAAAGTATGGATTATGACTCTGCACATTTGCAAAGCAATGATGGAAAAAGGTCACCCCACCCCTTCCCGTCTAATAGCGATAAACTTATAATTTATTTTTATATTAAAAGTTTAGGTATGTATTACGTAAACTTTAATTTAACCTATTTCAATCACTTGATATCCTTTTATATTGTTATTGTTTGATAATGTTTATGTAACATTTTGATATTTCTACAATAATAATGAATCTCAAGTTGCAATCGAGAATTTGAATATATGTCTTATTAGCATAAGAGAGGATGAATTATTACCGGGTGAAAAATTATTTCATTAATTATCTTTGTTAATTTCGTAATGCAATTATAAAATTATCATAAATCCATTTGTAATGTCTGTAAATTAAAAAGAAAAAGAAAAAGAGAAAGAGAAAATAAAAGAATTTTTGATGGATCCCACCACTAAGTCTTGAGTGGCTAGAGACCATTTTTGGTCTCTCATTCATTCTCTCTCTCTGTATCTATCTCTCTCTCTCTCCCAAATTTCTATTTCATTTTCTTTTATTTTTCAACCCAATCTTTGAGGCAAGATTTATTCTTCATTACTTGGCGGATTTAGGTGCCAGGCAAAACGACGAGCACGGCGAACTCTACGTGCTAGTACTAGAAATTCCAGCTTTTGGTTATCTTTGGGAGCTCGAATTTAATAACCCGTTTATAGAGATTTTGCTCATTTTGAGGTAGGGGTATCTTAATCCACTCATTTATCATTCTATTGTGAACTACACCTCCTTGTTGTATCAGACATGTTTAATTGGGAGTTAATTGTATCTATGATTGTATGAATGATGTCTAGAGAATTTTCAAGAACTTGATTATGACTTGTTTCATGTGTAAAATATGTTTAGATGTTGTTTTATTATGTCCACTATATGTTAACATGCTGAAAATGACTAATGAGAACATGTTTATTTAGATTGTGCCAAATTTCCCATTGTCATAGTATTGAGATTATATGTACATCTATGCACATGTCATTGGGATGCATGAAATGGGAGAATTTATCTTGAAATGAAAATGGGGGAAATTTTGGGAGAAGAGTTTTGTCAAATAGTTTTGATAAACCCGATCGCTGCGGGGTTACCAACGGGCCGGAGGTTAATATAGCCTAAAGGGGACTAGGGAGTCGCCCTAGCGTGGTTGAGCTATTCGGGCCCCTCAATGACGCTGCGGGGTTACCAAAGGTCTAGGGACGATAGCCAATCCTTCTCTCGTATCGCAGTGGGGTTATCAAAGGGCGGGCTGTATTAACATTTGAAAGTAATGGTTTGGTGAATGAAAATGGGGGGTAGCATTAGCATGCATTGCATTTCATTGCACTGCATGGTTTATAATTTGAATTGACGTGCATATTGTTTTAATTCTCTATATTGCATGATTCCCATTTCCCATTGGCCTATGCTTTGTTTGGATTCACAAGGACACAAGAATTGTGTCTTAAGTGTCACATACTGAGCTTTATGCTCACCCTACTATTTATATTATTTTTTTTAGATCTTGGAAATGAACCGGTGAACGACAATCCACCTCAAGCTTGAAAGTTGTTAGAAGGTTGTTTGCTATTTTGTATTTTGACCTTTTTATGTATATTCATAGTTGTGGGGATGTAACTGAGTTAGTATTTATGGCCTTATAACTTAAAACGAACTTATTTTTTGTTTGATGTAAATGAAACTAATGGAATTATGGTATATGTTTCCATACAATTGTATCATGTAACGTTGTAAGACAGGGACTTTAAATCTTAACCATATATTTTGGGACTGTAATTATGATAATTTAGATTAATTGGCGTGTGAATGTTCCACCATGAGAGGAACTATGTTGAGGTATAATGAACGGATGAATGGGATGCTTGATGATATTATGTGTTTTGTGTATTGGGACAGGTTATTGAAGGCTTATTTTTAGAGGAGGTTATGCTAAATTTTTTTAAAATTTTAGCATCAGCTAAGGTCGTTACACCATTCCTGTCCCACCCCCACCCTACTTAATAAATGATTTTGGGCGGGTATGGAGGGACCAATATCCTCTCTAGCGGAACACCTATTTAGTTCAATCAAGTCAGGGAAGCACTCTAACTGTAATTTTTAACGTCTCGCAACTTTTGTGTAGGATGCATCATTAACTTATTGAAACTGAAATTAGAGATAATTTTATTTCGGTATGGAGGAAACTTTGCTAAACAAGGATGGGAATGGGGTTGGTATTCCTGGCCCGAAACTGCCTGTACTTGATTAAATTTTTCAAAAAATATGATAGGTTCACACCAGGCTTCACTTGGTTAGCGTAAAGTAACCAAAAAATGGGAAATTTTAAAGAGTTGGTTAAATAGAAAATTAAATTTTTGAGAAAAATAGGATTCCGCATCTCATGAATTTTTTCCAAAACGTTTATCGCATAAAACACATAAATTTTACTTTCTCACGAAACTTTTTTTTTTATAGGTTAGTTTTCTATTATGCCCAAAGTCAGAGTTGTCTATGCATTAAGTTTTCGCTCTAACTCCGATCAAAATTGTATCCAAAATGAATGACACCTATGAAAAATCAAACACTTAACTATTTTCACCCATAGATTAATACTGAACAGGGGCAATAATAATATACATAGGACAATCCTCAGTTCCTGATCACTGGACTTGAAACCACAACAAAAGAATAAATAATTAATAATTCATATTTTACTATTTTCTGTTAAAATAAACCATTAAATATAAAGAGTATTTATATAACATAAATTTATTTATTTTATTGTTATTTGAAATCAGAAGGGTATCTGGGTAAGTAAATGATTTTATTTTTCTGTTTTTGCTACCCAAACTAACAAAATAATATTTTCTTACATTTAAAAAAAAAAAATTCTTACAAACCTAATGAATATTAAAAATTTAATTTTTCTTTATTTCAGTTTACTTTCTTTCACTTTAAATTTTCATCATAAATTTTAATCTAGCTAAACAAACCTTGATCATTTATGAACCCACCATTAGCTATTTTGTTTAACCACGAGCGCACATGGGCTGGGTGAAGAGGCAACTTGCCCTCTTGTTGCAGCACTACATGATCAGCCCACCATTAGCTATTTTGACTATGACCAAGACTCAACCTGGCCCTATTTGGACCACGAGCACATATGGGTTTGGTGAAGACTCAACTTGGCCCATTACCATTGCAGAGTGCTATATCATTATTTATCTAGAACTCGTGACTTTCCTCGGTAAGTCATTCAAAACTCAATATGACTTTTTAATACCATCATCGGTTTCCACCTCCACCATCATTCATAATTGTTATCATTCTTTAAAAAAAAAAAAATAAAAGAATGTCATTTTATTAATTTAATTTATTTGTCACTTTTGAAGAAATCAATTTAAAGTTTATTTATTATTGTTTAAACAAAATACTATAATAATTATTATCTTTCGATTGCTACTCATTTTATCTTTGCAATAAAATAATAAAATAAAAATGATTATTCCATTCTCATTTCATTACATTCGTGTATATCAAATGCAACATTAATATTATGCCAATTAATATGTCAAACACCCAACTCAATATTTGTCTATCCTTTTCAGCTCCATGTGAAAGTTTAAGATTATCAAGGAGAGGAAAAAAAAAAAAACGCAAAAGAGGAAAAAAAGAAAATTAAAAAAAAGACAATTAAATTTACCAAATGAATTGACCAGATTTTGGTCTTAGTTTGTGGTTGTTGGTGTTGGAAATGCGGCCATTTCTATTTTTTTTATTGTGATTTAAAAAAATGAGAATTGGCAGCAAAATCACATTTGGTAATGACTTTTGCATTTTGAATTGTTAAAAAAAAAAAAAAACTAACCAACCTTTAAAAAAAAAAAAAATCTGATATTTTTTTAAAAACACTAATTTATTAACCTGTTTTAACACTCTAATCTTCTGTTTTTTAACAAAAAATGTCGGAACACAAGCTCTAATAAATTACTAATGTTTTCAAATCCCAAGTGACAATTGTTGTATTATTCGTTATGTAAGTTCTTTGTATCTTTTTATTTATTTATTAGTACAGTGGAAAACAATAGTAATAAATTGATGAACATTGTAACTGTTTTTCAGTGTTTGATTCATTAACCTGGGATTAAAAAAGAAAAGAAAAAAGAAGGTGGTGTTTACATGGAAAAAGAAGTCTGAGGATTACAAGTTTAAACAATTGGTACGTGTAATATGTACTGACTTTATGTGGAAGTGAATGTTTTATGTGAAAAGTAGAGAAAAATGTACGAATAATCCAATGTTTGTGTGAAAATTAGTCTTTTCTTTCAATTAAATACAAATTTGTCACTCAAATATTATTTGACTAACTAAAATCAAATTAGACTTTGAGCAATGATAAGAGTGACGAGTCCCTTCACAAATTTAACTTCGACTATTTTCTATATAAAAATTGAGAGTTTGAATCTTCTTAGATCCATCACTTATCATTTTTCTTAATAATTATTCACTTATGAATGATGGATTTTCGATAATTGTCTATTGGTGAATTACAGCTTTACGAGTGTTCTAAGAGGTCGGACATCAATATTGTCGAAAAAAATAAATAAAAACATTAATGACATAATTATCGTTCAGTAGATTTATTGAATTTGAGACTTCAAATCATTATTTTTTTATTTTGAACAATCAAATGCACATAAGAATACTTTCAAATAGAATAAAAATTTGAGTGATGTATATAGACTTGAAATTTGCCAGGAACGAATAATTTCATCATCCATAAGATTTACGTAAATTTGATTCGAATTTAACTCAAATTTTTTTTAGCTTGAATTTAACTCAAATGACACGGATTCGGCTTGACACATTCGCTATATTTTATTATATTTAAAAAATTCAAGAGGGTCAAAATGGGATTAACCAATGAAAACGACGCCGTCCAAGCACAAAGACTAGAGGATATACATCACAATTCACAGCCCTACTCGTTATTCTGAAAATTCTCTTTCTCACCGGGGAAGAGAGAGAAGGCTGTGTATAGTGTTTGTGACCATCAAGATGGCGATGCAAACTGGCATGGGGGTTACCAAGATTTTAATCTTGGCTGGAGCAGGTACACACATCTATTATATCTATATACACATATATATTAGTTATATGTGTGTAGAGACACCGTACGTGGTCGTTTTCGTTGTCTGAGTTCTATTGTTTCTTCAAATTCGAACGGATTCTATATATGATCGTGTATATGTATATGTATATGCACAGGTACTTTTCTGCTCAAGAACGGGAAGTTATCTGATTTATTGGGCGAACTCGAGGTACATAATTATCAGCCCTTCAGTGATATGGTTAACTCTTTATTGTTCATTTTCTATCTCGATTCAGATAAATTGAATTAAATGTGTATTAGCTGAGCAATAAATTAGTATGTTTTTATATTCATAGTAAATTTGGAATCTGGCATCTTTGAATGTGGGTTCTAAAGCAACAAATCATAAATTTTAAAATTTGTATCACGTGGTTTGGTTACTAACGGATGCCCTTTTCTATTGAGAAGGAGAGTTATATACTTGTCTAATTTTTTTTGGCTTATTATCTTGATTTAAACATTTAAGTGATTATGTATGTTGTTTCTGTTAATCTGTTGTATTGACAGTCACTGTTGAAAGGTTTGAAAAATTCTGGGGATTCATCAGATGCTGACTCCGACGCTGTCGCTGCACAGGTATGTTAACAGTAAAAGCAGGTTATGGAATTATAGTAATTTTGGTTTATTCTCTTTATTTTTTGTTTTTCACCTTTTCTCAAGGTTTTGATATTAATAAAATGTCAATTAGCAATTTAGCATCCACAAATAATGTGCATATAGGTCGTTCCGCTCATTTTGATTTATTTTTTGGTTTTACAGATGGGTGTTTTGGAAAAATATGTATAAACACCATCCTTTTCCCAGCATTTAAGCTGGTTTAACCAAATACTGGATAAGGATAATCATTCCATTCCTTTATCATTCTTGTCTATGATTTTTGAATTATTTCTTCATAAAGCATGCCTTGTCTACTTCATTTCATGTAATCAAACATAGCCTTAGGTTCTCATTACAGGCTTCATTGGTGTTGATGAGTTTGCTTTCTTTACTGGATAAATCGAAATGTTATGGTTGAACATGTTCATTCTTTTACAATTCTAGAATTAGTGTTAAAACGAATGTAGACTTCTTCATCTTACTATATTCCATTATTAGTCACCCCTATCAATTTATAGGGATGCTTATTCTCTTGTGTTACTATTTCTTTATTGGCTATCTTATAGGTGCGGCGACTAGCGATGGAGGTACGACAACTGGCCTCTGGAAGACAGATAACTGTTCTGAATGGGAATTCTGGCCAAATTGGTATTCCTGCCTGGACATGAATTATCCCTTAAAATATTCTACTGCTGTTTCCTTTTCACTTACGATACAAGTAACAAGATCATGCATTATTACGATCTATGAACTTCCTTCACTTTTTTATTCACCCAGCATGATTGTCCATCTTCTAGCGAACCTTTTACTAAAATTTCCTAGAGGGAAATAAGGCTACACCATGCAATTGTTCATACCAACCTCTTGTAAATTTGTATTATGGATTTTAGGCTCCAGACGAGGCACTTTTTTTTTTTTTTTTTTCATCATACGCTGTTTGGTATTACATCTCTCTTTTATTTTTTTGACAAAACATCAGGTAACATGACATCTCTTATAGTACCAGCTGCTGCCTTGGGCGCATTGGGGTACGGATACATGTGGTGGAAGGTAGGATAATTAACTGCACATATGATCCAATGGCACCTCCATGTTTTGTTGAACGTATTTTGCTAGCTTTGGTTTTTGCTTGGTTAATATTTCTTGAAGTTCCTGGTTATTTTTCCTTTCCCTTCTCTCTCTCTCTCCAAATCCAGTTTTTTTTTGCCTTATAGCTGTAGATACCGTTGCCAGTCTATTTTTCACTTAGTTTACATTCTTGAAGAGACTAACAACTTTTTTCTCTTCTCTATTTTTTCCTTTTAAAATTATCAGGGTCTTTCATTCTCAGATCTTATGTATGTAACAAAGCAAAACATGGCAAATGCTGTTTCAAACCTGACAAAACATCTGGAGCATGTCTCTGATGTTCTTGCTGTAAGTTTCTGTTTAGCCATCTATATTTTATTTTTTGATGCCTCACATAGTAGTTTCTTTGTTGGTAGTGTGCATTACAACTGATAATGGAGTCGACTGTAATAAACAAATTTATATACCTATCTCTACTACATAGTTGTGCCTTTACATGCATCATATTCTATTTATTTTCCTTTCTCCCCTGTTGCTAGAACCACACACAGTTGTAATTTCTGTTGTTTTATCACAAGTGATGCAAAAAAAAAAAAAAAAAAAAAAAAATCTTTCCAAATTAGCGGTTTATCTTCTACTATTTGTTTGTTTCAGCATTACATCTGAACTATTACACTTTTTTTGCCTGGAAGGCACATTATTTTTATTTTCCTTTCTTTATTAATATTAGTTTAAAGAAGGGAAGAAATAATATCAATATTAAGGACCTTAAAAAAGCGAGTTATTTCCCCATTAAGTAGTTTGAAACTTTAAATGCATAAAATTTTCAGAAATCCTCCTTGGGATGTTAGTTTTTCAACAGCCTCGTTCTCTCCTTTAGGATCTGGTAATGCTTTCTTCTTACGCACCCTAATGATTCTCAACTCTTACCACCTCCTAGTGTGAAGGTCATAAATCCGAGCAAAGCGATAGAAGAATGGTCAACAAATTCAAATGCCTATTCAGTACCAGTTTACCTCACTGTACCATTGATTCATTCGAAGCAGGCGTTCCCGACAGAGAGGAATCAAATCAAATAGAGCATTTCGAAGCGAATTCTTCTGGCGAGTGACAACCTCGTACTGTGTCATTTTCCTTTAACGGTTGGGGAAGTCTGAAGTTGATGTAAGAGACCTAGCTCTTCTCTTCCATCGCTGAACAAAGCAGCTTCTGCTAACTTCTAGTTTCTCATTGGGCTTTAATCTATATTGTAATCCTTAAGAGGTTTTGGTTCAGAGATGTTAGGGCTCAATGTTATGAATTGGGCTGAAGAGCAGGCCCCCGATGTCTTGCTCAAAGTTAGCGAGGCCCTTGCTCCATTTAGGGTTAAAAGATAGTCCAAAATCTCTCTCCATGAAAGTAAAGATAGAAAAGAAGAAGCAAAGGTCAAGTTCAGATGTTGTAATAAATGTTATAGTTGAAAGAAATTCCACCTCTTCCTTTTATCATCCCTTGGCTCTTTGATGAGCTCTTCGTTGGACCGGTCTCCTTTTAATTGCTGCATCATATTTTGCCTAGTTATGTTCGATTGTGCTGTTTCTGGATGAAGGTGCCCTTTGCGGACTTGTAAGTTATTTAGTAGAAAACGACCGTTCATCCTCCTGAGTTCATCAACTAGAGGGGTTTAAGGCATTGTAAACACTATTTGCTACCTGACCATCTGCCTTAGAGATCATGTCATCGAAATAACCTGCTAGGTCGTTTCGTGGTTAATTTACATTTGGTCCATTTCCTCTAGATCTACACCGAGAACATCCTCGTATTCTCCTGGGAGATTAGCCATAGAACTCAAGTCCAATCGGATCTGACAAAAGCCCACATGCCACGATTTGATTCTCTTTTTAAAATTGCCTTACCCAATTGCTAAGATCCTCCAAGGTTTCACTATCAATACAATCTTTCAAAATGCATTTCCAATAATATCCATACCTTCTAATCAGCCACTTTGGCCGTGTCCAACTTAAGAGCCATATACTCAACTTTCCTTTTGGATTTTGAATTCAACACAGAGAGAATCTCATGAGCAAGCCAATATTGTCCTGGATCAATCGTTTAGGCGCAAAGGCGCTCTGGTTCCCACTGATGAGAAGAGGAAGCAGAGTTCTCAGGTGCTGGTTTGTTCTGATCTGGACATTAAGTTTATGGCGTCCCATATAAGTTAAATTGCGCTTACTGTGTGTAGTGGAGCTTTACCTCATCTCACAAACCAACTGTCAATGTTGTTACTCTTCTCAAAGGTTAGAAACACAAGCTTCCTGGTTACCACCTCTAGATTTTTAAATTTGCTTTGTTTACAATTAGCATGGTTTTCCCAATTTTGTTGGAAATAGGGGCTGTTCTTCCTGCTTAGATGCAATCTTTTATAATATTAATGAACCTGCTACATTAATTATATATCACCATGGTTTGCTACCATTTTGTTCTTTTGGTGGAACGTTGTGCATCAGAGCCTAATTTCATCCTGAATATTTCTTGGTCTTTTGACAGATGCTTTTATTTATTTATTTTTAAATTAATATATCATAGTTGATCTCTTCTGGTTTTTGACTGTTAATTTTATCTTCAATGTATATCTATATATTCTCTTTCTTCTTGATATATATCAGAATTGTTGTTCTGTCACTGTCTATTTGATCTAGAGACTAGGGAAATGTGTCAGTTCTGGTGGTTTCGAAGAAAGTACCAAGAGATAATAATGATGTTAAAACTATAACTTTGTTGTAAAAAGAACTTATACATGTATATAATTGTTTGACACAGTTGACAAGGCCTGCATAGGAGTGCCCCTTTGACATACATAAACATTTGTTTATTAAAAAAGGAAAAGTATGTATTCATTTTGAGAAAGATGTGGCTAAGTGGCTATTTTTATGTTTTAAGATATGCATCTTTGCTACATTCTGTAAATATCTTTGGGACTTTTTTGCAACCTCTTTACTGTTGTTACTTATCTTCTTTTGGCTAGGCAACAAAGAAGCATTTGACACAGCGAATTGAGAACTTGGATGGGAAATTGGATGAGCAGGTGGAGATATCCAAGTTAATTAGGAACGAGGTACATGGATAAAAGGGGTTTCTCTTTCTGTGTTTTCTTTGTGTAGCCTGCACAAATAAAAAATATGTGATGCAATCATTTTATATACAGTAGGATTAATTCAGGGGAAAAAAAAAATAGTAGGATTGGGGAAACAGTTCTGCTAATTTTTTGTGTTATGGATCTGCCTATCATTTAATCTGTCAGAAACATCTTAAGTGAGTTTATCAAACTTATGAAACAGGTTACTGATGTTCGTGGTGACCTTTCTCAAATTGGCTTTGACTTGAATGCACTACAGAGAACGGTTTCTGGTTTGGTGAGTTGGGTTTTATGTAGCATGTCAAAGTTACCTGCTTGATAATATATATATATACATATATGTATACATTTATTTATACATAAATATATACATATATTCATATATATATTAAGAAGAAACTTGGTAAATTTCATTTCATCCGATTTGTTAAACTGTACATGTAATTGCATTGAACAAAGATATTAGATGAAGGGAAGAACCAAAAGTAATGGTGTTACATTGTACTCAAAGCAATGAAGCAACTAAATTGTCGGACTTTGCATCAAATGAATCTCTCAAGCTTATGAATTACTCTGTAGATTGCTGTCTTCAGTATCTGTTTATAAGTCTCTCTTTGAATCATCAGAAAAGTTACCTACTCAGATAACTTCGAGACCTATTGAACCCCTCTAATAGTTCCAATTTTGGGTGGAGGTTGGACTGCTGTATAGGGTTAAATCCTAAAAAATGGTGCTAATGATTATTTTTGGTTTTTTGCTAATTGTTTCTTGGGTTGGGAATTTCATATGGCGTTAAGGTTGGATCCTTTGCCAGATTTCGTTTTCATTGTATGTTAGTCTTTAAAGGAAGAACTTGAAAGATTTTAATGATTCTATTTCTAAAACAGTCATGCACCATGAGAAGTTGTTTTCTGTATAAACACCTGCACCATCACAAGCACTTGATAAGATAGATTTTAAGAATGGAAAACAAGTCTTTGTTACACTGCACTTATTCTTCTTCTTCCTCTCTCTTTTTTATTTTTATTTTTTATTTTTTTTTAAAAACTTTCCATCTTCTCATTTAGATTTGATCTCATATGCCATACTTAAGTTGAGGTTACACCACATGGAAGATGAGGTTTTTTAATTCACCAAATGGAGGATGAAGTTTAAATGTTTAATTATCTCTGACAAGTGAGAAAAGTTGCTCATTAGTAAACTGTAACCCAAAATGCTTCTCCCGCGGAATACTTGTGCGCTTCAAATTGGGCACCTTTCTGTGAACCTATGTCTGTGCTGCTCACCTTTCCTTTAAATATACTGATTATACTGGCTCTTATGTTAAATTTAAGGAAATCTCTCTTTGAAACTCAAAAAACTGACCTTTAAGGAAATTTAAGGTGCTTATTCAAGAGTGTCTTTGTTGTTTAGGCAATTGGCTTAGGAATTTAGTTATTGCTTTTGTATGACATCCTCTGCATACATTAAAGGATTTTATTTGATTTGGTTTTCTTTCATTTTTTTGGTAAATACTATTTATTTATTGTTCTAGAAGTTGTCATTGTCGATTGCTTATTTTTATAATTGTTTCTCTGTTTGCAGGATGGGAAGATTGGTTCATTGGAATATAAGCAGGTGAAACATCTTCCATATTTTATCTGATCTGAAATTACAAACCATGTATTAGTACAGCCCATTGGCTGCAGACATATCAGTTTCAACTCTTATCACATCTTTTTAGTTCACAGATTATTACTTTAAAGGAAATAATAAATGTATACCCAAAAGGGAGTTACCATTTAGTAGTCGGGGGAAAGGTTTTGCTTGTAGTTGTCAATTGTTGTGCACTGGGAAAAATTTGCATTAATGTTACCAATTAATTTCTTGACACGTCTCATTGTTCATAAAACATCAATCAGGATTCTGCCTGTTATTTGTGTTCCAATTGAGTTGATCTTCTGGAATAATTTAAACAGAGTTCCTTGGAGAATCTAAGAGAACTATTGATAGTTTATTTCCGGTCTGTTTCTCACCACCAAGATTATTATTGCTCTTGAGTACGTGATTTGCTTGATTAGTTAAAATACTTTTTATATACTGGACAATATTGCTGAAAAGAACGCCGAGGATAATTTTCTCATTGTTGTTCTTGTCTCACTTAGATTCAAATGTGTAGTAGTAGTGATTTTGTTAAGTAACTCAGCATTATGATTCACCCTAGAAAAGAGAAATAAAGAAAAAGAAGTTTACACATGCCACATGGATAATGCTATCGTTTTACTTATAAAAGAACATCTAATCTTATCTTGAATGTTAGTGGAATGCAATTAGTGTTGGCATTTCAGTTATTTTATTACGAACGTATAATACTTTTATATAAATAGGAGATCGTTTTTCTGCCTACTTGTTTCCATTTCCCTTTGGTATTAAATCTCTTGAAAGGAAAAAGAAACAATAGATTTACCTGGATTTGTTTTATGGATTATGTCAGGAGATCCTTTATTGCTTCTGTGGCCACCCCATCTTAGTGATAATAAACAATAATGAAATGCTTTGAAGTTTGAACCCAATCCACCTTCCTATGCAAAACCTGTGGACCAGTTGATCAGAACATCAACATTCTATTTTCTTATTACCTGTTTTATTTATTTATTGTCATTGACTTCACTGTTGTACCAAGAAAAATATTAACGTGGTTGGGTCCTTTAAATTAAGAATCCAAGCTACACAACAACAGTATGCCATTCATTAAAAAATGCTCATATTTGCAACTGTACCTTCACATGGCTTTTTTTTTTATTTTTTATTTTTTTTTATGGCACTGGATTGATGCATAATTTTTTAAAATTTATTCCTAATGTCTATTGGAGGGTATACTTATGAAATTTTGTTCTCAGGATGTTACAAATGTTGGTGTGTGGTTCCTGTGCAACTTCGCTGAAGGGAAGAAGGTTAAAATGCCTGAAGTGCTGCAGGTTTGTACCACTAGCTATATAAGTTCCATGTTCTAACTGACTATTTTTTGGGGTCACACATTGCCTGAATTTGTTGAAGAGGTACTCTGGCAGTTCAACTACTGTAGGTCTCACATACTTTTCAGTGACAGGAAGATCAAGTTGATGTCTTAATGTTATTATATTATGTGAATAATCAGTTATTCTAAATACTTGAGTTGATGGAGTTATACTTGTTATATGATCAATATTTCACTGATATTCGGTCTAACTTTCCCTTATGGCGATCGAACAAGACATTCTTTATGATATCATGTTAACAAAAAGTTGCTTCAAAAGCTTGAAATGATAAAGAATGATGCAACTTTTTTTGTTTCATCAATATTTTGCAATCCACATATTAAATGCTGTCATGCCACCAAGGCAGTGATGTCATCTGATAATTTCACCCCTATGAGCTAAATCATACTCCCTCTGTCCCATATTAGTTGTCAATTTTTCCATTTTAGGTGTCCCAAATTAGTTGTCAATTTTGAAAAGTCAGACAAATTAAATGCAATATTTACATAATTACCCTCCTAACTTTTCAAGAATCTTTCAACTTGTGTCTTCTATATTTAAAGTTTAAAGGATAACTTAGTGATTTGAAAAGGGGACAATGCATTAATTGCATGTCCCCTTGAAATAGTTAGAAAATCAAAGATTGACAACTAAAATGGGATGGAGGGAGTACATCTATGGGTGGAATATGTTTTGTTCCTTTGATTTGAAATTTGTTAAGACGATTCTTGTCAAAAGTTTGCATTGCCCCTCTACATTTATTTGGCAAATGAAAGCTGGTCCCATCTCCAGCTAATTAGATGTTTGTTGTAATTGTTTGTTTCGTGTGTTCTTGTAGGAGCAACTTAAACTTCCTGGCAAGTCCCGTGGTTTTCTCACATCTTCAGAAACTCCAAGTCTTATGGTTTGTTTTCTTCTTTTATAAGCATTTTTCTTTTTGCTAGATTTACTCATATAGAAGCTAGTAGCTAGTTACACCATAGCTTCTATATTGCATGCTTATAAAGTTAAAGCCCCACTTATGTAGTTACAATTAACACGTTGCAAACTTATAAGATTATCCCGTTTTCCTTTTTTAAAGAAAAAAAATTAAAATTAAAAATAAAAATGAAATTAAAAAAATAAAAGAAGAAGATAATCCCGTTTCGATCCTTGTTTGTGGGGAGGCCTGAGAATCATATGATACATAATATTTTGGAAAGAAATTCTGTTTCAGATTTTTGAAATTGGACTTGGTAAAGGCCTTTTTATCCACATTGGTGTCTTCTTGGAGAGCATCTGTCTACTGGTGATGTGTCTTGATATTGTTATTAATTTCTTAATTTTTGTATTGTAATTTTTCTGGTTACAATGGGTACGGGTTTAAGATGTTGAGAAGGTGAGAGACAAGTCTTTTTATATTACTTGTATTTTTTCTAAATAGTCAAAGCCAAAGAAAGATCTCGAGACAATAAAACTATGAAGATGTCTACAACTTCGTTTGAGCCTGATGTCACATTATTTTGCAGGGTCTCAAAGAGATTGCGGACTCTTTAGCGTCAGAGAATGCTGATGGGTCAATAAGGGATGGTGTCATGCAAAATGGTATTGATAAGACAGATGATCCAAGGAGGACCCTAAAGAGGTATGATTTGGAAAGTTCCTCCTTATTTGGGGTTTCTTTTCCTGAGAGTGTGTTTTGATGGAGAAAGAGGGATTGTTGTACCACGAGTATACCCTGATCTCGTGTCTTGCAAAACCCCAATTTCTTCTCCCTGCTACCATCTGGTTAAATAATACATTGCCTTCAATAATTTATAAGTTTATAGGCCAAGTTTGTAGATTGGCACTAGTTTAGTGGGAATTTTCTTGCTTTAGCTTAATTTGGTATGTGAGGACTTGTATCTAGATTGGACACTGGACAAGAACACTCATCTTGCATTTCAATTTTCGAGGTTTCGATTTGGGCACATAATTTTCTTGATGCTACTACTGGGGCACAATAGACATGATGTTGACACTCCCCTATGTTTTAAAGAATGCTGTTCCACTCTGATATTTTGTTTTGAAAAAAATATATGCAGGGCTGCTACGGCCAAGTGCTGATCAGAACGTTTTTGGAAGAAGTCAATCTAGTTATTGTTTTCGGCATGTCCTGGGGCATACGATGATTCTTTCACCATCTGGGGCGTTAATATACCTACTAAAATATCCCCCCAAGGACACACGAGTATAAATACCCTCTTATGGAGGAAGACTACTTTAACAGGAGTTTCAGATTGTATACGTGGTTATACTCTAAAACTTGATGTATTATTACAAAACCAACTTTTAGTTCATGATTCTTTCACGAACAAAAAAAAATTGATGTTACTTTGTTGATGTAGTGGCTTGATTTTGTTCTTTTTTTGGTTCAGATGGACTCACATGTATATTTATTAAACCTTATTCTTGAAAGATGATATATGTGGGATGGGAACCAGAACTGGATCTCAGGCCACTATTCCGTTGGCAGTAACTGGGCATCTTTATAGAGTTTCTTTTACGACCACTGAACCTCTAAAGTATTAGGTGGATGGCTTAAAAGCTGATAATGAGACAAATAGGAGGGTTGAAAGGAATTACGAGAATACCGGGTCAAGACCTGAACGGTTGAACTGCATAATAGATCGGTTCCAAGGGGCTCTTTGAACAGGTGGCAGCTCCATCACCAAAAGTCAGTCACCAGTGCCTATAAAGTCATTGGGGCATGCTAGAAACCAAGTATCGTATGGTTTCACAGTAGTTGATAAAACATGTCTTGCTGGGTTGTCCTCAGCAAGGTCCTTGGGGACTGGAAGGCCAATGACACCACCTTAAAGCCAGTGATACAACCCAATGTTTTATGTGATGTGGTACCAACGTTGCGATGTATAATTTTTCCGTTGCATGCCAAATCTTGTTCCTAGATGAAGCTGTCTTAGCAAGGTAATTGTATCTCACAAAAAGGGCTGCTAATTTGGGCTGGCCTTCACTAAAAGGTAAAATTAACAACAAAACACCCGACTTTTAAATTGAGTGATTTAACGATACGTCATTAAGATTTTTACCGGTCAAATATGCACACAGAATTGATTGAGATTTTTAGTTTTAAAGGTGTCCAATCTTATTTTTGTTCTCTTTTTATTTTTAAGGAATTGTACTTGGAGATATCTATGTATATACAGGATAAAATTAAATATCAAATCTAAGACCACGGCTGAATCTTTTCTTGAACTGATTTTTTTTTTTTTTTTTTCCGTATATTATTTAAAATTTTATATTTACATTAGTTTTGATTATCATAATTAACGACTATGAATTCAGTTTAAATGTGGATTAGTGAGTTGATTTGAAGGTCCAAAGGTCAGGGATTGGTTGAAACATTTTTTTGCCTTTGTGATCAATTAGTAGTTTAATATTATTATTAACTTTTTTCTGACACATTAGAGAAAGAGGGTAAATAGTGGATGTGACATACATTATTGTACCCCATCAATCAAATATAATCAATTGTTTCTTTATCAGTAATTTTATAAATAAGGGGATCCATTTTTTTTAAAAAAAAACACACTATAGGTGGATAAATACAGTAATGACATAGTGATTGAATTGGGTGGATGCACTAATCACATCACATACATGGCATTGAGTGTACCATTCCAAAAACCCTGCCACTCCCCACCCGCCGCCGCTGTCGCTCTCTCTCCAATGCCCTCATCCACATATACTATCGTAGCATTAAGATTCAAAACCCAAAGAGAGGCTCCACCTCCATTTCTCTCTCATCCCTGCATCAATACCAAAACCAATACCAATATCAACACCAACCCTGGTTCGTCTTGCCCTCATCCACGTCTCCTTCAAATCAACAACTCTACAGCGGCACTTTATTAGTAAGTCACTCCATCCCACGATTCACGATCCTTTTTCTTGAGAATCAATCAATTTGCCGAGAGAGAGAGGCAGACGGATGGTGAGAATCAAAACTAGGGTTTTGGTGTTTGTAAGTGTAATACGGTTCCACTCTGGGTTAACCCGTTAAATAAACCGATTCTAATCTATTTTTTAATCTAGGACGCGTGTAAGTATTTAATTGGACCACATTAGCATAAGAAGGAGCTTCCTCCTTATAAGACAGGAGGTAAGTATCGTCCGCCAGGAAAAAAACAACGAATTTTTCATTATGCGTTAGTATTTGATTGGCAGTTGGAACTGAAATATAGCAATTGAACTCTTGTTCAACCAACCTACCAAAACTTGGTAACAGAACTAATAAAATCCCATTTTTCATTTTCCATCTCTGGGAATAAAGACTGAACCCTTATTAAAATTATATATATAATATATTTTTTTTCATCCGAAAAAATAATGTAATATGATGATAGAAATATGGTATAGTGCATCTCACTAGCAATGCAATAATGATCCCAATTATTATTTTTTGGTAAATATGATTTCAATTAAATTCTCATACACTCCCAATCCAACCCAAGGTTTTTGAGAAAATCTTTCAAATGTTTTCGGTCTGAGGTTCACCTTTTGCAGTGCCTGTGACAATTTAATTTGGTAACTTGCTAGCTATTGAATCTACTTATTTCAGGATATTCTATCTGAAATTCTTCTTGGCCGGCATGCCAAGGACTTAGGAAACTATGACCAATAGAGTCAGACACTTAGCTACATCCGCACGCAAAAGGAATGTGGTTCTGGATTCATTGGTTTGTCATTACTTGCCTATACAATTATTTTCATTTGTCTAGTTACCACACAATGTGATCTATTGAATCCTATAAAGACATGAACAATTGTAGTGCATCTTAGAAATTTGCTTCAGAAGCATATAACTTAAGCTTGCTAGGTGAGAAAAATTCAGATCATGGGTTCAAGGCACCTCCCAAGCTTCCCACTATAAGTTTCACTACAGAGAACCTCAAGCCTGGCTCAAGTTCTTGGATTGCAAAGTGCAATGATGTTCGGCAGGCGCTTGAAGATTATGGCTGCTTTGAGGCAGTGTATGATAAAGTTTCTTTAGACCTCGATAACAATATCTTTTCTGCATTAGAAGAGTTATTTGATCTCCCCACAGAAACAGAAGCCAAAAACACTTCTGAAATACCTTACTTTGGCTATATTGGGAATGAGCCACTTGTTCCCCTCTATGAGAGCATGGGCATCGATAATGCAGCAACCCTTGAAGAAACTCAAAGTTTCACAAATATCATGTGGTCAGCTGGAAATGACTTTTTCTGGTATAATTTGATTTATTGTCGTGAAATAATTCTTTTAAGTTCTTTAATTCAGTATGCGTATTCATATATATCACTTATCTTTCTTTTGTTTCTTAATTTTTGTCCTTGGTTAGTGAAACTGTGCATTCATATTCAAAGCTAGTAACAGAATTAGAACAAGCGGTGAAGAGAATGGTATTTGAAAGCTACGGTGTAGGGAAGTACTATGACTCTCACATTGGATCAACCACTTACATTCTTAAACTCATGAAATATAGAGGTCCCCTGATGAATGAAACTAATATCGGTGTGTCAAATCACATGGACAAGAGCTTCATAACCATACTCCATCAAAATAAAGTTTACGGCTTGGTAGTGAAAACAAAAGATGGCGTGTGGATTGGCTTTGAGCACAGGCCTTCATCTTTCATAGTAATGGCAGGTGATGCATTTTTGGTAGGTGATATCTTCTACTTATCAGGACTTTCTATCAACAAAAAGTAACACCGTGACAATTATTCTTCCTGGTTGATCTATCTTAACTTTCCCACTTTCATTTGTTTGTAATTAGCTTATATACGATTATGCCTTCTTAATTTTCTCCTACTAATATTCGAAGGTTTGATATTTCCTTGGCTAGGCATGGAGCAACAATAGGGTTCATTCGCCTAACCATCGAGTCATCATGAGTGGGAATGAAGTGAGATACTCAATTGGGCTATTTGAATTCAACAAAGGAATAATGCAAGTACCAGAAGAACTAGTTGATGATGAACATCCCCGACAATTTAAGCCATTCAATCATTTTGGATTACTTGATTTCTATTACATTGATCCGCTTAACCGTGGTGAATGTATGGCAAAAGCTTACTGTGGTGTTTGAGAACTCTTTTGATCTAAATCAACTGCGAGAAGTGTAAGTCTAGGGATAGAAGTTTGGAGCTTTCTATAGTCATACAATGTATTTGTAGCACATATAAGGGTCTTATTGTTAATGGCTGTGCCAAAATCCTTCGTAGAATAAATGAACTTAATAAATATTGATCAAGATAGCAATGTATTTATGCACTTGGAAGTGGTTTGATTTGATGTAATTAGCAAAAATGGAACACAAGCAAGTTGAAATACATCAATTTTAATTCTTTGAGAAGTTTATTCAGAAGAGATGGTGACAGAGAGGTGGTGCTAATCCTTGGTTAAACCTGAGGCTGTTCCCAAATTCCCTCAAGGGGCAGGTGTGAATGATCTATCCGGTGCGATTGTTTGTTTAAATAATAGGAAAATAGAAAATCCCTCAGCTAGCATGATTGTCAGCTAGATATGGAACAAGCTAGTAATGTAATATGGGGTGAATGCAGCTCAACTGCCATAGTTAGCATGTCATGTAATCATGCCAGTTCTTCTATGGTTTTATGCATGTTTTTCTTCGATTATTTCCTATGACAGTAAAAAACTAGAATAGGTAAAACAATGTACAGGTTGCAATCATGATATTCATATAAACACATCAAATTACTTCCATGCTTACACAGAAACTGACATGCGAAAAATATTGGACTTAAACAATTAGAATAAGAAAATTTTCTCATGACTATTCTCAATCCATGTTTACCTTTGCAAAAATAATGGACATACGGATAATTGAATCAACATTCAGTCTTTAATTTGAAACAAAGAGTGGTAAATTATATGGTGCAAAATTTTTCTTGCCATTCACAAAGCTACTCTAGCTAAGATTTGATATACTTTTCAATCCATATCATTAAGATCATAATTCATGTTTAAAAAAGTCTATATTAGGCATCACTTTCTTAGCGATGCATAGATAATTTTACTGTATGGTGACCAGTTAATATAATTTATGAAGAATGGGCTGCATGTCTGAGGACCTAGAGCAAATGGTGCTGTAAATCATGAAAATTATCACAACCAAAACATATAGCTGTCACAGGACCTAAATTATGGTGTAAGTGCCTTATTATTCTTAATGATCCTATTTAATAATTGAGACATTCGTATTATGGGGACTTCAAAGCACATCTTAAGGTGGTTGTATAAAATGTGCACAATTAAATCAATTTCCGATTGTTGTTTAATTTTGGTGACTAGGTATTTCTTTCTTTACTAGTGGCCTATTGATTGAGTGGTGTAGAGATGGTCGTGTGGTACCTGACCTCAAAGGTTAAGGTCAAAGTACACATAATCTGAGTTCATAAACCTACAAATCATACATCATTTTTATTCTTGGAAGAAGAGCTTTGAATAATATTTTGCTATTCCATGAGTTGTTGATAAATGATTATAAAGAAACTCCATCTTCAACATGTGTAATCAAGGTTAGCAATAGTTTCGCCTTAGCTATTGTTGATTGGAGTTCCATTATCTAGGCGTTGAAGGTTATGAATTTCCTGAAATTGTCTTTGGATTTCTGCTTGCTTTAGTTTTTCAGTACCAAATATCAATAGAGCTTAATAGTCATTTTCCAGAGTAGGAGAGGTTTAACCCAAATGGATCCTGTTTGCCCTTAATTTTTTTTGGTCTAGCTATGAAGGTCTTAATTGGTATTGTGACCAAAGCAAATCAAGACGTGAAATAAACTTCTACTGGATGTGCTAACACAACTATATATGCCTACTCATGGCAGAAATATGTTTTAGCCATCTACTTTCTTAATTATCACAAAGGAATCTTAATCTATTGAAGATGAAAAATATGGGATAATTTATCAAATTTATCAAGAATAGGTTACACATCTGAGAGTCCTGACTTAAATCTGCTTTTCCATTTGTCCCAAATCCTATCAGGTTGTGGTATGATGGGATTTTTCTTCTTGAGACATGGCTTCATATCATGTCTGGACTAGATATAAAACTACAGAAACCAAATCCTAACAAATTAAGAATGATAAAAATCACTACTTTATCAGGTTAGTTAAGTGTCTTAGGTTTTTGAGATTGTAGGCATGAAGCTAGTAGAAGAAAAACATCTATTGATTTTTACAATGAGGGTTATAGAAATACAGAGACCAAATTCTAGAAAATTAGGAATGATCTTGTCACCAACTCAATTGCCAGCATAACAAATTGTGGAAGAGAGCATATATGGTTTTAAATGATACTTGGACTCCCTATAGAAAGGCCTTTACAGGTTACAAAGTCCCACTGGAAGAGAAAAGCAAGAATTGTGCCAGAATAAAATTAAAATAGTTCACCCCATGTAACTGAATGAGAATTTATGTGACATAAGTCCCCTCATCTTAATCTGCAGCCAAAGAACAAGACAAACATAGAACTAATATCCTTCTTGTATCTTCTATCATCCAGTGTTAAGAAACTTTGTTATAGATCAAATCATACAAATTTTCCTATAAATTTTATGTGTCACTTTCTATAATGAGCTACAAAGGCGGTAAAAACACAGTTTTTGTTTCTAGAGTAAAGGTATTTGACAAATCTGTCAATTAACTTCCCGGCTTCCCCTGCAAAACTATCTATAAACTCAGCCTCTTAAGCTCACCATTTGCAATTCCTGACCAGTTTAATACAGTTTATGAATTTTTAAAGGTTATTTATGAATTTTTAACCCCCGAAGAGAAAGTAAAAAAAATGCTGCTAGAAAGTGAAAATAAACCGGCTTGTGAAGTTGAACAAGTGTTGCCAATAAACTAAGCAGGTTAGGTTGCCAGGAAATATAGCAATTGAACTCTTCTTCAACCTACCAAAACAAGTTTAACTGAGAACTAAAATCCCATTTTTCATTGTCCATCTCTGGAAATCTTAATAAGCAGAAAAAGTCTTTAAAATTATATATCTTCTTTTTCCCATCCGGGAAAAAGAAAAAGAGTAATGTGATGATAGAAATCACGGTATAGTGCATCTCACTTGCAATGCAATAATGATCCCAATTATTATTTTTTGGTAAATATGATTTCAATTAAATTCTCATACCCTCCCAATCCAACCCAAGGTTTTTGAGAAAAACTTTCAAATGTTTTTGCTCCGAGGTCAACCTTTTGTAGTGGATGTGACAATCTAATTTTGTAGCTCACTAGCTATTGGGTCTACTTATTTCAGGATATTCTATCTGAAATTCTTCTTGGCCGGCATGCCAAGGACTTTGGAATCATCAGTTTATCATTACTTGCCTTCATCAGTTCTTTTCATTTGTCTTGTTAGCACAAAAATAGATCTATTGAATCTTATAAAGACATGAACAATTGTAGTGCCTCTTAGAATTGTACTTCAGAAGCATCTAACTTAAGCTTGATAGGTGAGAAAAATTTAGATCATGGGTTCCCAGACACCTCCCAAGCTTCCCACTATAAGTTTCACTACAGAAAACCTCAAGCCTTGCTCAAGTTCTTGGATTGCAACGTGCAATGATGTCCGGAAGGCGCTTGAAGATTATGGCTGCTTTGAGGCAGTGTATGATAAAGTTTCTTTAGACCTCGATAACAATATCTTTTCTGCATTACAAGAGTTATTTGATCTTCCCACAGAAACAAAAGCCAAAAACACTTCTGAAATACCTTTCTTTGGCTACATTGGGAATGGGCCACTTATTCCTCTCTATGGGAGCATGGGCATCAATAATGCAGCAACTCTTGAAGAAACTCAAAGTTTCACAAATCTCTTGTGGTCAGCTGGAAATGACCTTTTCTGGTATAATTTGATTTATTTTCTTGAAATAATTCATTTAAGTTCCTTAATTAGTTATGCTTATTCATATATGTCACTAATCTTTATTTTGTTTCTTAATTTTTGTCCTTGGTTAGTGAAACTGTGTATTCATATTCAATGCTTGTATCAGAATTAGAACAAGTGGTGAAGAGAATGGTATTTGAAAGCTACGGTGTAGGGAAGTACTATGACTCTCAAGCTGGATCAACCACTTACCTTCTTCGATTCATGAAATATAGAGGTCCCCGGATGAATGAAACTAATGTTGGTGTGTCAAATCACACGAACAAGAGCTTCATAACCATACTTCATCAAAATCAAGTTAACGGCTTGGAAGTGAAAACAAAAGATGGTGTGTAGATTGGCTTTGAGCACAGGCCTTCATCTTTCATAGTAATGGCAGGCGATGCGATTTTGGTAGGTGATATCTTCTACTTATCAGGAATTTCTGTCAACAAAAACTAACACTATGGCAATTATTTTTCTTGGTTGATCTATCTTAACTTTTCCACTTCCATTTGTTTTTAATTAGCTGATATATGATTATGGCTTCTTAATTTCACCTACTAATATCTGGATTTGAATGTTTCCTTGGCTAGGCATGGAGCAACAATAGAGTACATTCACCCAACCATCGAGTCATCATGAGTGGGAATGAAATGAGATATTCAATTGGGCTGTTTGCTTTCAACAGGGGAATAATACAAGTACCTAAAGAACTAGTTGATGATAAACACCCCCAACAATTTAAGCCATTTGAGCATTTTGGATTACTTGATCTCTACTACATGGATCCGCTTAACCGTGGTGAATGTATAGCAAAAGCTTACTGTGGTGTTTGAGTACTATTTTGATCTAAATCAACTCCGAGTAATGTAAGTCCATTTCACAGTGCATCTTTGGGTTCTTATTTTCCTCATGGCTATGTGGTTCCTTTCTTGATGTTCTCTAGGGATAGAAGTTTGTAGCTTTTTATAGTCATACAATGTATTTGTAGCAGATATAGGGGTCTTATTATTAATGGCAGTGCGAAGATCCTTCCTAGAATAAATAAAATAAATAAATAGATCAAGATACCCGTGTATGCGCTTGGACGTGATTTGGTTTGATGTACTTAGTAAAATTGGAGCATAAACAAGTTGAAATTTATCAAATTTAATCATACTTATTTGCCATTGTTAACATGTCATATACTTATGCCAGTTCTTCTATGGTTTTATGCATGTTCTTCTTTGATTATTTCCTATGACAATAAGAAACTTGAATAGGTAAGACAATGTGCAGGCAACAATCATAATATTCATTTAAACACATGAAATTACTTCATGCTTAGACAGAAACTGAGATGCAAAAAAGTATTGGGCTTAATCAATTAGAATAAGAAAACTTTCTTATGACACTCATCAATCCATGTTCACCTTTGCAAAAATAATGGACATACAGATAATTGAACCAGCACTGAGTCTTTAATTTGCAACAAAGAATGGTAAACTATATGGTGCAAAATTATCGTTGCCATTCACATAGCTACTCTAGCTAGGGCACACGAGATGATCACTAAGATGGTTATGCTTTTCACTACATATTCATCCAGATTAAAAAAGCCTCTATCAACCATCACTTTCTTAGTGATGCATGGATCAATTTTACTATACGGTGAAGTTAATTAAATTTATGAAGAATGGGTTGCATGTATGAGGACCTAGAGCAAAACATACTTAATCCAGTTACTTGGTTGTGTAGATCATTTATTGAATGAATTCATTTGAAAGTGGAGCCATCTTACAGATGATGTTGTAAATCATGAAAATTATCACAACCAAAACGTAAAGATGCCACTGGATGTAAATTATGGTGAAGTACCTTATTTTTCTTAATGATCCTATTTAACAATTGAGGCATTCATATTATGGGGACTTCCAATCACATGTTAAGGTGGTGGTTCAACATGTGTAGTCAAGGTTGGCAATAGGAAAGCCTAAGATATTGTTGATTGAAGTTCCATTAACTAGGTGTTGAAGGTTATGAATTTCCTGAAAGTGTCTCTGGGTTTCTGCTTGCTTTAGTTTTTCAGTATCAAATATCAATAGAGCTTAATAGTTATTTTTCAGAGTAGGAGAGGTTTAACCCAAGTGGATCCTGTTTTTTTGGTCTAGCTATGGAGGTCTTAATTGGTTTTGTGACCAAAGCAAGTCAAGAGGTGAAATAAACTAAGCTGGATGTGCTAATACAACTATATATGCCTACTCATGGGAGCCCTTTCCCTCACCTTTCCACACAGTAGCAAATAGGCAGATATCTATTTTAGCCATCTACTTTCTTAATGATCACAAAGGAATCTTAATCTATTAAAGACAAAAAATGTGGGAGAAAACTTATCAAATTTATCAATAATAGGTTACACATCTGATAGTCTTGACTTAAACCCACTTTTCCATTTGTCCCAAATCCTGTCAGGCAGCTGTATGATGGGATTTTTCTGCTTGAGATGTGGCTTCGGATCATCTCATACTAGATATAGAACTGCAGAAACCAAATTCTAACAAATTAGGAATGATGAAAAAATCATCTAGTGATCCTTACAACAAGGGTTATAGAACTACAGAGACCAAATACTAACAAATTAGGAATGATCTTGTCACAAACTAAGTTGCCAGCATAACAAAATTATGGAAGAGAACATATTTATGGTTTCAAATTATACTTGGGCTCCCTATAGAAAGGCCTTTACAGGTTACAAAGTCCCACTGGAAGAGAAAAGCAATAATCATGCCAGAATATAATTAAAATAGATCACCCCATGTAACTGAATGAGGAATTTATATGACATAAGTTCTCTCATCTTAATATGTGGCTGCAGAAGTCACACATGTAAAGTAAAACGAGAAAGAGGGGAATAAATAACAATTAGGGAATAACAAAGAACAAGATAAACACAGAACTAAGATCCTTCTGGAATTTTTTATCATCTAGTTTTGAGAAACTTTGTTATTGATCAAATCATACAAATTGAATAGATCAATTCCGTGAGGAGGGGCTCTTTGAACAGGCCAAAAATGTCAATGTAAAAATAGCTACAGCATCTCCATCGCCAAAAATGCAGTGCCTACAAAGTCATTAGGACATGTTATCGGCTATGTTTAGGAGGCGGAAACCAGGTGTCGTTGCATAGTAGATGAGTTGAACTATATTCAATAGTATCTTACGCCGTCCATGGTGTCTAATTACTTAATTAGGTTATTTATGAATTTCTAACCCCCGGAGAGAGAGGCAAAAAAAAAGCTGCTAGAAAGTGAAAATAGATTGGCTTGTGAAGTTGAACAAGTGGCGCCAATAAACTAAGCAGGTTTGGTTGCCAGGAAGTATAGCATTTGAACTCTTGTTCAACCTTCTAAAACAAGGTTAACAGAGAACTAAAATCCCGTTTTTCATTTGCATCTCACTTGCAATGCAATGATGATCCCAATTGTTTTTTTTTTCCTGGTAAACATGATTCCTATTAAATTCTCATATCCTCCCAATCCAACCCAAGGTTTTTGAGAAATCTTTCAAATGTTTTCCCTCTGAGGTCCACATTTTGCAGTGCCAGTGACATTTTAATTTGGTAGCTCGCTATATTGAATCTACTTATTTTAGGATATTTTATCTGAAATTCTTCTTGGCCGGCATGCCAAGGACTTTGGATTCATTGGTTAATCATTACTTGCCTCGTCAATTCTTTTCATTTGTCTTGTTACCGCACAAATATATCTATTGAATCCTATAAAGACATGAACAATTGTAGTGCATCTTGGAATTGTACTTCAGAAGCATCTAACTTGGCATGCTAGGTGAAAAAAAAATTAGATCATGGGTTCCCAGACATTTCCCAAGCTTCCCACTATAAGTTTCACTGCAGAAAACCTCAAGCCTGGCTCAAGTTCTTGGATTGCAAGGGGCAATGATGTCCGGCAGGCGCTTGAAGATTATGGCTGCTTTGTGGCAGTGTATGATAAAGTTTCTTTAGACCTCGATAACAATGTCTTTTGTGCATTACAAGAGTTATTTGATCTTCCCACAGAAACAAAAGAAAAAAACACTTCTGAACTACCTTTCTTTGGCTATATTGGGAATGGGCCACTTACTCCTCTCTATGAGAGCATGGGCATCTATAATGCAGCAACTCCTGAAGAAATTCAAAGTTTCACAAATCTCATGTGGTCAGCTGGAAATGACCTTTTCTGGTATAATTTGATTTATTTTCTTGAAATAGTTCTTTTAAGTTCTTTAATTAGTTATGCTTATTCATATATGTCACTAATATTTCTTTTGTTTCTTTATTTTTGTCCTTGGTTAGTGAACCTGTGTATTCATATTCAATGCTAGTATCAGAATTAGAACAAGTGGTGAAGAGAATGGTATTTGAAAGCTATGGTGTAGGGAAGTACTATACTCTCACATTGGATCAACCACTTACCTTCTTAGACTCATAAAATATAGAGGTCCCAGATGAATGAAACTAATATTGGTAAGCACACGGATAAGAGCTTCATAACCATTCTCCATCAAAATCAAGTTAATGGCTTGGAAGTGAAAACAAAAGATGGCGTGTGGATTGGCTTTGAGCACAGGCCTTCATCTTTCATAGTAATGGCAGGCGATGCGATTTTGGTAGGTGATATTTTTTACATATCAGGAATTTCTATCAACAAATACCAACACTATGATAATTATTTATTTATTTATTTTTTCTTGGTTGATCTACCTTAACTTTCTCACTTTCATTTGTTTTTAATTAGCTTATATATGATTGTGCCTTTTTAAAATTCACCTACTTATATCTGGATTTGAATGTTTCCTTGGCTAGGCATGGAGCAACAATAGAATTCATTCGCCTAGCCATCGTGTCATCATGAGTGGGAATGAAATGAGATACTCAATTGGGCTATTTGCATTAAACAAGGGAAAAATACAAGTACCAGAAGAACTAGTTGATGATGAGCACCCCTAACAATTTAAGCTGTTTAATCATTTTGGATTACTTGATTATTCCACGGGTCCGCTTAACCATGGTGAATGTATGGCAAAAGCTTACTTTGGTGTTTGAGAACTCTTTTGATCTAAATCAACTCTGAATGTAAGTCCATTTCACAGTGCATCTTTGGGTTCTTATTTTCCTCATGGCTATGTGGTTTCTATCTTGATGTTCTCCAGGGATAGAAGTTTGTAGCTTTTTATAGCCATACAATGTATTTGTAGCAGATATAGAGGTCTTATTGTTAATGGCTGTGGGAAGATCCTCCTAGAATAAAATAAATAAATAAATAGATCAAGATAACAGTGTTTGCAATTGGAAGTGATTTGATTTGATGTAATTAGTAAAAATGGAGCATAAACAAGTTGAAATTTATCAATTTTAATCATACTCATTTTTCATTATTAACACACACACACAAACACACACACACATATATGGAACAAGTAGTGTAACACGCAGTGAATGCAGCTCAATTGCCATAGTTAGCATGTCATATACTTGTGTCAGTTCTTCTATGGGTTTATGCATGTTCTTCTTTGATTGTTTCCTATGATGATAATAAACTTGAATAGGTAAAGTAATGTAAAGGCAGCAACCATAATATTCATATAAAACACATCAAATTACTTCCATACTTACACAAAAACTGAGATGCGAAAAGTATTGGGCTTAAACTTAAGAAAGAAAATTTTCTTGGAACTCTTATCAATCCATAATCACCTTTGTAAAATTAGTGGTCATACAGATAATTGAATTAGGACTCAGTCTTTAATCTGCGACAAAGTGGCAGATTATATGGTGCGAAATTAATCTTTCCATTCACATAGCTACTCTAGCTAGGGCATTAAGATGTGAAATGTTTTTCACTCCATATCCATTAAGACCAAACTTCATGTTTAAAACAGTCTATATTAGTCATCACTTTCTTAGCGATGCATTGATAAATTTTACTTTATGGTGACCAGTAATAAAATTTCTGAAGAATGGGTTGTATGTCAGAAGACCTAGAGCAAAACATGCTATCTTCCTCAGTTAATTGGTATTAACAACCATCTACTTCAAAAGCTTAATCTGTTAGAAGTGGTGAAACTTTAATATTTAATCCTTTAACACACCCCCCTCACATGTGGCCTTTTGGTCCAACACGTGTTTCAATTTTTAAATATAAGGGTGATGGTGAGCTTTGAACTTGAGACCTTTAGCTCTGATACCATGTTAACAACCATCTACTCCAAAAGCTTAAGATGTTAGAGAGGGTGTAACTTTAATATCTAATCCTTCAACAGATGATAATTTTGTAAGTCTCATGCTTGAATGGATTCATTTGAAAATGGAGTCATCTCACAGATGAAGTCGTAAATCAAGAAAATTATCACTTAACCAAAACGTAAAATTGTCACAGGACATAAATTATGGTGAAGTACCTTATTGTTCTTAATGACCCTATTTAACAACTGAGACATTCAAATTACGGGGACTTCCAATCACATATTAAGGTGGTTGTATAAAATGAGCACAATTAGATCAGTTGCTGATCACTGTTTAATCTTGGTGACTATTTCTTTCTTTACTGGTGGACTATTGATTGGGTGGAGTAGAGATGGTCCTGAGGTACCTCAAAGGTGAAGGTGAAATGTTCAAATTTCAGAACATTCAACTAAGGTGTACACATAAATCTGATTTCAAAAACCTTCAAATCAGACATCATTTTTATTCTTTGAAGAAGAACTTTGAATAATATTTTGCTATTCCCTGAGTTTTTGATAAATGATCATAAAGAAACTCCATCTTCAAACATGTGTAGTCAAGGTCGGCAACATGAAAGCCTAAGATGTTAATTGGAGTTCCATTTTTAAGGTGTTGGAGATTATGAATTTCCTGAAAGTGCCTTTGGATTTCTGCTTGCTTTAGTTTTCGGAATCATATATCTATAGAGCTTAATAGTTGTTTTTCAGAGTATGCGAGTTTAACCCAAGTGGATGCTGTTTGGCCTTTTTTTTTGGTCCTTATTGGTTTTGTGACCAAAGCAAGCCAAGAGGGGGAATTCAAATGCCATTGGTGAAATAAACTCAGCTGGATATATGACTACTCATGTTTTAGCCATCTACTTTCTTTATGATCACAAAGGAATCTTAATCTATTGAAGACTAAAAAAATGTGGGATAGCATATCTAATTTATAAAGAATAGGTTACACATCTGAGAGTCCTGACTTAAACCTGCTTTTCCATTCGTCCCAAATCCCATTCGGCAGTGGTATGATGGGACTTTTCTGTTTGAGGTGTGGCTTCAGATCATCTCTGGACTATATATAGAACTACAGAAATCAAGTTAACAAATTAAGAATGCTAAAATCACTACTTTATCAGGTTAGTTAAGTGTTCTTAGTTCCAGGTTTTTGGGATTGTAGACGTGAAGGTAGTAGAAAAAACATCTAGGGATCTTTACAACGAGGGTTATAGAACTACAGATACCAAATTCTAACAAATTAGGAATGATCTTGTCAGAAACTTAATTGCCAGCATAACAAATTTGTGGAAGAGAATACGTGTAGTTTCAAATGATACTTGGGCTCCACGTAGAAGGGCCTCTACATGTTACGAAGTCCCACTGGAAGAGAAAGCAAGAATCGTGCCAGAATAGAATTAAAATAGTTCACCCCATGTAACTGAATGAGAATTTTAAGTGACACAAGTCCCCTCATCTTAATCTGTGGTGCAGAAGGCACACACGTGACGTAGAGTAAAACGAGCGAGAGAGAGAAATAAATAACAATTAGGGAATAACAAAGAACAAGGTAAACATAGAACTAAGATCCTTTTGGCATCTTTTATCATCTAGTTTTGAGAAACTTTGTTATAGATCAATTCATACAAATTTTCCTATAAATTTTATGTGTCACTTTCTATAATGAGCTACAAAAGCGGTAAAAACATAGTTTTTGTTTTTAGAGTACAGGTATTTGACAAATCTGTCAATTAACTTCCCCTGTATAAACTATCTATAAACTCAGCCTCTTAAGCTCGCCATTTGTAATTCCTGACACAATTTAACTGGTGGCACAAAAGCTAACAAAAAGGCAAGTATTTGCAATATTCCATTAGTTGAATTCCATTTTTGGAAGAAGTTGATCTAGATTTTTTTTTTAGCATGCCCGTGGAGGAAGATTACTTAATAGTAGTTTCAGATGGTATATGTGGTTATACTATAAAATTTGATGTCTTATTACAAAGCCAACATTTAGTCCATTGATGTATATGTGGTAGCTATTGGATCCATCTGAAATTCTTTTTGGCCGGCAAATATGTGAAATGCCAAGGACTTTTGGTTCATTGGTTTTATCATTAATTGCCTTGTCAATTATTTTCATATGTCTTGTTACGACACGAATAGATCTATTGAATTCTATAAAGACAGGAACAATTGAGTGCATCAAAGAATTGTACTTCAGAAGCATCTAACTTAGCTTGCTAGGTGAGAAAAATTTAGATCATGGGTTCCCAGACACCTCCCAAGCTTCCGACTGTAAATTTCAGTACTGAAAACATCAAGCCTGGCTCAAGTTCTTGGATTGCAATGTGCAATGATGTCCGGCAGGCATTTGAAGATTATGGCTGCTTTGTGGCAGTGTATGATAAAGTTTCTTTAGACCTTGATAACAATATCTTTTGTGCATTAGAAGAGTTATTTGATCTCCCCACAAAAAAGAAAGTCAAAAACACTTCTGAAATACCTTTCTTTGGCTAGATTGGGCATGAGGTTATTCCCCTCTATGAGAGCATGGGCATCAGTAATGCAGCAACTCTTGAAGAAACTCGAAGTTTCACAAATCTCATGTGGTCAGCTGGGAATGACCTTTTCTGGTATAAATTGATTTATTGTCTTGAAATAATTCTTTTAAGTTCTTTATTTATGCCTATTCATATCACTTATATTTCTTTTGTTTCTTAATTTTTGTCCTTGGTTAGTGAAACTTTGTATTCATATTCAAAGCTAGTGTCAGAATTAGAACAAGTGGTGAAGAGAATGGTATTTGAAAGCTATGGTGTAGGGAAGTACTATGACTCTCACATTGGATCAACCACTTACCTTCTTTGACTCATGAAATATAGATGTCCGAGGATGAATGAAACTAATATTGGTGTTGACAATCACACAGACAAGAGCTTCATAACCATACTCCATCAAAATCAAGTTAATGGCTTGGAAGTGAAAACAAAAGATGGCGTGTGGATTGGCTTTGAGTACAGGCCTTCATCTTTCATGGTAATGGCAGGCGATGCATTTTTGGTAGGTGGTATCTTCTACTTATCAGGAATTTCTATCTACAAAAAGTAACACTGACTATTATTCTTCCTGGTTAATCTATCTTAACTTTCCCACTTTCATTTGTTTTTAATTAGCTTATATACGATTATGCCTTAAATTTCTCCTACTAATAATATTCGAACGTTTGATGTTTTCTAGGCTAGACATGGAGCAACAATAGAGTACATTCGCCTATCCATCGTGTCATCATGAGTGGGAATGAAGTGAGATACTCAACTGGGCTATTTGCATTCAACAAGGGAATAATACAAGTACCAGAAGAACTAGTTGATGATGAACACCCCCAACAATTTAAGCCATTTGATCATTTTGGATTACTTCATTACTATTACATGGATCCGGCTAACCGTGTTGAGTGTATAGCAGAAGCTTACTGTGGCTTGAGAACTCTTTTGATCTAAATCAACTGAGTAATGTAAGTCTATTTCACAGTGCATCTTTGGGTTCTTATTTTCCTCATGGCTACGTGGGTTTCTTTCTTGATGTTCTCTATGGATAGAAGTTTGGAGCTTTTTATAGTTATACAATGTATTTGTAGCAAATATAGGGGTCTTATTGTTAATGGATGTGCCAAGATCCTTCCTAGAATAAATAAAAAAAAAAAACAAAAAGAGGGAAAAAGATAAAGATAATGGTCTATACATTTGGAAGTGATTTGATTTGATGTAAATAGTAAAAATGGAGCACAAAGAATCTGAAATTTATCAATTTTAATCATACTCATTTTTCACTTACAACATATCTGTATGGAAAAATTAATGCAATATGTGCTGAATGCAGCTTAATTGCCATAGTTAAGATGTCATGTACTTCTGCCAGTTCTTCTAGTTTTATGCACGTTCTTTGATTATTTCCAATGACAATAAGAAACTTGAATAGGTAAAATAATTGTGTCAAAAAAAAGAAAAAAAAAAAACCCAATAGGTAAAACAATGTGCAGGCGGCAATCACAGTATTTATATATAATACATCAAATTACTTGGGCAGCAATCATAATATTCTAATTAACACATCAAATTACTTGGGCAGCAATCACAGATGATGATGCAAATCATGAAAGTTATAACTTAAAAGCTAAAGATGTCACAGGACATAAATTATGGTGAAGTACCTTATTGTTCTTAATAACCCTAATTAACAATTGAGACATTCAAATTTAAGGGGACTTCCAATCACATCTTAAGGTGGTATAAAATGTGCACAGTTAAATCAGTTTGATTAAGTGGTGTAGGGATGGTCCTGAGATACCTCAATGGTTAAGGTAAAATGTTCAAATTTCTGAATATTCAATTAAGGTGTACACATAAATCTGAGTTAAAAAACCTACAAAGCAGACATCATTTTTATTCTTGGAAGAAGAGCTTTGAATAATATTTTGCTACTCCACGAGTTGTCGATAAATGATCATAAAGAAACTCCATCTTCAACTTGTGTAGTCAGTCAAAGTTGGCAACAGGAAAGCCTAAGAAAGATTATGAATTTGCTGAAAGTGTCCTTGGATTTCTGTTTGCTCTAGTTTTTCAGTATCAATAGAGAGCTTATTGGTTTTTTTCCACAGTAGGAGAGGTTTAAGCCAAGTGCGTCCAGTCTGCCCTTGGTTTTTTTTTTTTTTTCTGGTCTAGCTATGGAGGGCTTAATTGGTTTGTCACCAAAGCAAGTCAAGAGAGGGAATTCAAATACCATAGGTTACACATCTACAAGGATTCCTAACTGACGCTTCTTATCTTCCGTAATAAGATAACGTTGATTACCACATCAAGCAAGCTTACTCTAAGTCAGTAAGAGGATTAACATCTAGTAGAGAGAAGGGGGGAGGGGGGTTGTTGGGGAGGGCTTGGAGGAACTTCTTTTTAACGACAAGGGCTTTTTTATGCTTCTGTTTTGATTCTGATGAAGCCTGTAATGCTATTCTTGATCGTAGCCCATGGCATTTTCTAAGTAAGCTTCTCATTCTTAAAAAATGGGAAAAGGGTCTTACTCTCTGCAAAGCCACCATCAGTCAAATTCTAGTCTGGGTTAAGCTTTTCAACATTCCAATAGAGTGTTGGACTGAGTTGGGCTGAGAATACCCTGACTTAAACCTGCTTTTCCATCTGTCTCAATTCCTACCAGGCAGTGGTATGATGGGATTTTTCTGCTTGAGATGTGGCTTTAAATCATATCTGGACTAGATATAGAACTACAGAGACCAAACTCTAACAAATTAGGGATGATAAAAATCACTACTTTATCAGGTTAGTTAAGTGTTTTCATCGCCAGGTTTTTGGGATTGTAGGGTAGCAGAAAAGACATCTAGTGATCCTTACAACGAGGGTTATAGAACTATAGAGACCAATTTCTATCAAATTAGGAATGAACTTGTCACAAACTCAATTGCCAGCACAACAAAATTGTGGAAGAGGACATATATGGTTTCAAATGATACTCGGGCTACCTATAGAAGGGGCTTTACAGGTTACAAAGTCCCACTGGAAGAAAAAAGCAGAATTAAGCTAGAATTGAATTAAAATAGTTCACCACATGTAACTGAATGAGAATGTTCTGTGACACAAGTCTCCTCATCTTAATCTGTGGCTGCAGAAGGCACACATGTAGAAACGAGAATGAAAGTGCGGTATAAATAACAATTAGGGAATAACAAAGAACAAGATAAACATAGAACTAAGACCCTTCTGGCATCTTTTATCATCTAGTTTGGACTTTTGAGAAACTTCGTATAGATCAATCATATATCCTAATTTTTGGTATAAATTTTATGTGTCACTTTCTATAATGAGCTAGAAAGATGGTAAATATATATATATATATATATATAATTTTTGACACAAGGGTATTCGACAAATCTGTCAATTAACTTCTCCTGCAAAGACTATCCATAAAGTTGGCCTCTTAATATCATCATTTGTGATGCCTGAGACAATTTAGCTAGTAGCAAGAGCTAACAAAAAGCCAGGCATTTGCAATATTCCATTAGAGAATTTTATGCCGGCTAGAATATGTATTGCCGAACACCATGGACTCTTATCTGTTTGTCCATACCTAAATCATCAATTCTATACATTTGTCCTGTTATTCAACTTATTCATCAATACCTCCATATAAAATCATGCATAATGATGGTGTATCACACATTAGTCCCTCAGGAACCTCCAGAGTTTCAAGCTGAGAGTGAATTCAAATCATGGGTTCCCTAGCACAACCTAAGCTCCCTGTTATTGATTTCACCAAAGAAAACCTGAACCCTGGCACAAGTTCTTGGTTCTCGGCTTGTAATGATGTCCAGCATGCACTTGAAGAGTATGGCTGCTTTATTGCAGTCTATGAAAAAGTTTCTTTGGAGCTCAGCAATGAAATCTTTTGTGCATTAGAGGAGTTGTTTGATCTTCCCTCCGAAACCAAAGTCCTAAACACCTCTGATAAGCCTTACTATGGCTATTTTGGGCAACACCCTGCAGCTATGCTCCATGAAAGCATGGGAATTGGGGAAGCAACAACTCTGGAGGCAATTCAAAGTTTTGCAAATGTCATGTGGCCCTCTGGAAATGACCATTTCTGGTAAAATGTATTATAGTTTACATTATAATAATCCTTCAGAGTTCTTTATCGGTGCTTGCTCATACCAACTCTTGTACATCTTTTCTCTCTTCTGGTCTTCCTTGGTTGACAGTGAACTTGTGCATTCATATTCAAAGCTAGTATCAGAATTGGATCAAATGGTGACCAGAATGGTGTTTGAAGGTTATGGTGTGGAGAAGTTCTGCGACTCTCATATTGGATCAACGACTTTCCTCCTCCGTGTCATGAAATATAGAGCACCCCAGATGAATGAGACTAATCTTGGTGCCGATGTTCATACAGATAAGAGCTTCATCACCATACTTCATCAAAATCAGGTTAATGGTTTGGAGGTGAAAACGAAAGACGGTGAATGGATTACTGTTGATTTTCCCCCTTCTTCGTTCGTAGTCATGGCGGGTGATGCATTCTTGGTAGGTCCTGTTTTCTACTTTTCATCCTGGTTAAGTTTCCCAAATGCACTTATGCAACAAGGACACTTTTGAAAATAACATGATTATAATGTTCATTTCCCTTGAGTTTTCCCCAATAAATTATGCGTAACTTTCCTTATGCTTAAATAAAATTGCTGAAGAATTTTTTTTTTTTTTTTTTTTTTCCCGAAATATATTTGGAAGTAGCCACAAATCTCACACCTTTTAGAGGACTAGATGAGTTGGAACTTCTTGAACACCAACTTTCTTGGTGATTTTCTTTTACAAAATTGAAAGGATTATTGGTTGATTATGCTTTACTGAGCTTTTGTCTACTAAGAGTGGATGATGTTCATTTGTTGACTTAGGCATGGAGCAATGGCAGAATACATTCTCCCTTGCATCGAGTCATCATGACTGCGAATGAAGCGCGATACTCACTGGGGCTATTTGCATTCCACAAGGGGATAATACAGATACCAGAAGAGCTAGTTGATGACAAACACCCGTTACAATTCAAGCCCTTTGATCACTTCGGATTACTTCATTTCTTCGTCACCGACGTGGGTAGGCAGAAAGAGAGCACTGCAAAAGCCTACTGTGGGGTTTAAGGCCTTCTCCGATCTTAAAGAACTCCGAATAATCTTATGTTAATTTCCTGGTTAGATTTCTGGTTACATGTTCTGTAATTTCATGAATGTCATTAGTGTTTTCACTTCTTCATTGCTTGGTACTTCTTAGTATACCAAAGTTACGTTGGTGTGTAATGATTCTCTATGAATAGAAGTCTAAGCTTTTACATTAAGGTCAAAAAATGTGGTTGTAGAACATGGGAGTTCTTGATGTTAATGGCTTTGCCGGTCTCTTTACTCTCTGTAGCAAGTCAAATAAAAAAAATGAATTACTTATCTTAGAACATACGTAGTATATAGTTTTTCCATAATCAATGATTATATATTGGTATATAACAGAATGGTTGGATATTTTCTTTTATGTTTTTGTGTTCCTAGAGTTTTTTTTTTTTTTTTTCACATCCGGTTTAACAAACCTCATTGGTTTGAACTTTGAATGTATTAAAAGAAGTGGATAGAAAGGAAAATAATGGTACATTGGTACTCACTCATGTATTCTGTGCCTCGTCAATAGTGGAAAATGAACTCCCGAGAAATGAAATTGTCTGGAAAATTATGCAAACTTTATGAATTAGTCTATCTCGAAACTAAAACTCAATCCACCAATATCCAATTGCATTCACAATACTTATTGTAAGTTGTAACAATAAAAATACGAATAAAAAAAAATAATTCTTACTAAATGAAATAATTAATTTAAAACTCAATATTAGATACTGGTATTTGTTTTTTATATAAAAATTTTTATTATATTTTTAATTACTAATATTATATTTTAAAATTATACTATAATTATATTATTTTTTAAAAATATAATTATAAAATTACAGTCGTGTCTTTAAACTGTTCTACAAATTCATGAATCATGCTATGTATAAACCTGTACAAAAAAGGAAAAAAAAAAGAAAAAAAAAGGCAAAATTAAATGAAAATGTTTGTCCATGATTGAAATTAAAATCTGAATTTTTTTTATTTTTTCCAATTCTAAATTAATTTGAATTTGAAGGAGCCCTTCGGTATTCCCAAGGTTAACATAATTTGATTTGTAATGGAAGTACCAAAGGAGAAATTATTAAATAATTTTAATTTATTTGATGTTTGATGGATTAATTAAATAAAGACAATGATGTAATTTTGTAATTTATTAATGTACTTTTATGAGGCGGTTTTCTCAATTCAAAAATATGTATTTAACTGGTCCACAGTACCAAACACGAAAAGGACAGTCTCTTCTTGACTGAAAGAGCTAAAAGTGAAAGAGAGATATAATAACAAATTAAAAATGAATCATCAATCACCATTTTCATCTTCAACCTCAATCCCTTTATTCTCTGCGTTCTCTTCGTCATCTTCGACCCAATACTCACCAACGTCATTATCTTCCTCGCAATTCTCATTCCCTTCGTTGAACCCTAACTCATCCTCTTCGTCGTCTTCTTCAACTTTTGCCTTTGCTTTCACTTCCCCCTCCTCGTCTTCTCCCTTCGCAAACCCTAACCCTAGCTTCACTTCCGCTCCTTCCTTAGGCTTTGGGTTGTCCACTTCTTCTTCTCCATTTTCGGTTTCTGCGACGAGCACGGCCGATCCGCTTCTGTTTGGGACGATTTGGGGGTGGGTATCATCGTCTCCCTTACCCAATTCTGATCTATTCGGATCTTCTTTGTTTCCGGATTCCACTAACCGAACCATGTTTGGACCTGCTTCTTTTGGTCCTAGGTCTCCGTTCGGATCATCTTCTGCCAACTCTGTTTCTACTGGTGCTTCTTTAGGTCCTACGGCTCTGTTCGGATCATCTTCTGCCAACTCTGTTTCTACTGGTGCTTCTTTAGGTCCTAGGTCTCTGTTCGGATCATCTTCTGCCATCTCTGTTTCTACTGGTGCTTCTTTAGGTCCTACGGCTCTGTTCGGATCATCTTCTGCCAACTCTGTTTCTACTGGTGCTTCTTTAGGTCCTACGACTCTGTTCGGATCATCTTCTCCCAACTCTGTTTCTACTGGTGCTTCTTTAGGTCCTAGGTCTCTGTTCGGATCATCTTCTGCCAACTCTGTTTCTACTGGTGCTTCTTTAGGTCCTACGACTCTGTTCGGATCATCTTCTCCCAACTCTTTTTCTACTGGTGCTTCTTTAGGTCCTACGACTCTGTTCGGATCATCTTCTCCCAACTCTGTTTCCACTTGTGCTTCTTTAGGTCCTAGGTCTCTGTTTGGATCACCTTCTCCCAACTCTGTTTCTACTGGTGCTTCTTTAGGTCCTACGACTCTGTTCGGATCATCTTCTCCCAACTCTGTTTCTACAGGTGCTTCTTTAGGTACGGGTTCGATTACTACGACCCTGTTCGAATCATCTTCTCCCAATTCTGTTTCTACTAGTGGTTTTTCAAGCTTGATTTGGTCTGGTTCGTCTTCTAGACCTTCTTCAACCTTGTTTGGATCAGATTCTTCGTCATTGTTTTCAACTGTCACGACCAACGCCTGTGTGGCTACAACAACCTCTTCTTCGTGGCCAGCATATCCTGCTTTTTGTCCGAGTTATTCTTCATCCTCGACTACTACTGCTTCAGCAGCTTCAGCTACTAGCACAGCTACTTCATCAGCCACTGCTGGTTCTTTTTCGAGTTCTGGTACCAGCAGTTCACCTGATTCCTCCGGCGTTACTTCAACATTGCAATCAGCTGTTTCTCCTCTGTTTGGTGAGTTTCTTGGTCTTTTCCAGATTTAAATTGTTTAATTTATCTTCTTCAATGTTGCAAAGATAGTTACTTTTATATCTATATATGTGAGAAGAGTAATGCTATTGAGGCTGAAATTTAGGTGGACTAAAACAATGTGAAATTGAGATCGCAGTCATGTGGGCTCACATGATGTCATCTCTTCAATATCCATTGATGATCTTCCTTTGGCATTGACTAATTAGGCTAAGTCTTTCCAATTTGAAAAGAATGTTCATGTCTGATAACCTTGTTTGCATTATTTTATTATTCATGATTGGGCTCCTCAAATTTAATATTCAGTCTCTTGTTGTTTGGTTTTGAAACTTGTGTGTTCATATAGAATATGACTGTCATTACTTGGAGAATTCACAGTTACAATTTTATTTTAATTTTTTTGCTTCCTTAATCACTTTATTAAAACATGTGGCACATACTTATCAAAAGAATAAAATAAATTAAAATAATAAAACAAAGCATGAACTCTTGGGGTTTATTTTATTTTTTATTTTTTTAATTTTTTGGTTTGGTTTTGTATGTGTGGGTTGCCGCAGGGTAGGGGTAATTGAATAAAAACCCTTTGAACTATAAATTCTGTATAACCCTTTACTAAATGTTTAACAAATATTACCGCCTTGAAATACCAAATATTTTGCAAGAAATGAACAGTTAAAGAAATTGTTATTATTTTTCTACAATCACATCCATGAAGTTACCATTAAGAATCAATTGGTTGATGCATTAGGTGTTTATTTATTTATTTTATTTTTTTGGACCCCTCAATTAACCTGAGGAGGCCCGAAGTGACATGGGCCGGATATGACTTGCAAACGCGACATCCGGTCCGTACAGATGGGTCAGGCCCATAGAAAGACACTGCCATATGGGCCGAACACGAATAGCCCATCAAAGATGACCAGAACTCATAGAGGAATGGGCCTAGATCCAGCAGCCCATCAACATTTGTAAATATCTATAAATAGGAGAAGTAATGGATAGAGGAAGGGGGATATTTTTTTGGTTGAAATGTAAGAATTCTAGAGAGAGAAAGGGAGGAGGAATTTCTTGCATCTTCAATTGGCGCCGTCTGTGGGAAGCGAAGTTGGATCCAGATCTGAGCGATTGTGACCTACTTTGGAGGAATTTTAGTTCCTGTTGCTTTGGCAGAAGTGGCTTCAGATCTACGCAACAACGAGTTGTTCGATTGTGGCAGGATCTGACGGATTTAGAATTCGAACAATTCAGATCTCGTCAACCGTGAGCATAATTCGGAGAATTCAAAACCAGATCTGAAAAATTCCCACTCACGAAGCTCGGATCTACTCACGAACTTGAGATTAATGCCTTTACTCCGTTCAGGAATAATGATAGGTGAAAGCTCCAATCCGATGGAGGCTGTCCAGCAAACGAAGCTTGAGGAGTTGATGAACTTGATCGAGGCTCTCAAAAAAGAGAATGCAGAATTGAAAGCTGGAATGCAACATCAGCAAATACCCGCGGTTTCGCGTCCACTTCCGGCCGGTGAAGGAGGTGTTCAATCTAATATCGCGCATCAAGGCGAGCAGGACGAGAACAATCGGTCAGCTCTCCACCGTGATGAAAGGAGGATGGATGATTTGCCGCCAAATGCTCGTCGAGTTGAGGATCACGAAGGATCGACTCACGTTGATCCGCGACATGAGCAGATCAGACAGAACGAAGCCATGACCTTCGATCCGCATCGGGAAAGGTTCAACCGAGAGGAAGTGATAGAGGTTGATCGCCGCCAAGTTGCGTCGCCTTAGCAGAGAGAGTTCATAGAGGAACGGTCGTTCGATCCGTCCTACCGGCCCTCCATGGCTACAATCACTCATCGCGGTTCGGAGAGCAGAACAGTAGCTCACAGAGCTACCATTGGGCGCCAAAGAGAGAATGAAGCACTCCGATCCGCGGCTCGGACGGTTGATTCACCATTCACTGACGAGATCCTGAATGCCCCGCATCCAAGGAAGTTTGCTATGCCAGTCTTTATTCTGTTTGACGGAACAACCGATCCGATCGATCATGTGTACCATATCCAGTTGAAGATGGCCTTGAATACGGAAAACGACACTTTAATGTGCAAATGTTTCCCTACAAGCCTAGCTGGACCGGCGCTCAGCTGGTTCAAGAACTTGCCTAGGAGCTCCATTGGTAGCTTCCGAGACCTGTGCGATCGGTTCATAAGCCAGTACTATGGGAACAAGCGTCCGCCGAAGGACATCTCAAGCCTATTCACAATGAGACAGCACAAAGACGAACGTCTCCAGGCTTTTCTCACCAGGTTTAATCTCACTGAGTATGGTGATCGAATGCCACCCTTCTACAGCGGTTCAAGCCTTCAAGTTAGCCATGACACGTGGCACTCTGTTCCATACCAGTTTGGTAGTGAACACGCCGACGACTATGGATGAACTCAATGAAAGAGCCGACGGCTTTGTGCGCCTAGAAGAAGAGGAGGCAGCCAATGCTCGGACAGCGTCGCTCGTGTCGACCGAGGAAAAGTCCAAGGCAAAGATCAGGCAGAAGCAGGCTCAGCCGCAGCGTCAGACCTCCTGGAAGGCAGAAAAGAGGTCCAGGGAGGAAGAGTTGATCACTCTGCTGAAGGTCACTCTGGCGAGGCTATATCAGGAGAACAAAGATAAGTTTCATCCACCACTGCCAATTAGGCAACCCCTCGAACAGAGAGATCAGACTAAACATTGTGTTTTTCACTCCGATTTCGGTCATCAGACTAACGAATGCAGGAATTTGAGAAGGCAAGTGGAGATGTTGATAGCTAGAGGGGAGTTCGCGAGTTATGTTCAAGGCTCGGCGACAGAGCAGAATCGACCGATGGAACAAATAAAAAGGAGTTATAAACAAAGCTCCCACAATTCACAACCAGTTCGTATAATCAATGCTATCCACGGTCGACCCGAGCCCAGCGAAGATTCAGATGAGCTACTCCGAGCGCGCCTACGGCAGGCGCAGATGAAGAAAAGGGTCAGCAGTGTGAATACTCTACACCAGCAGATCACATCGATACAGATAAAGTTCGACAGGACAGACCTGCAGCGTGTTCAAGTCCCCCATGAAGACCCGTTGGTAGTCAGTTTGACAGTGGCGGACTGCCTGGTGCGCAGAGTTCTGATCGATCCCGGGAGCAGTGCGAATGTCATGCCGAGGGACACATTTGATCGGCTCGAGATTAAACCAGAGAGGCTCAAGCCCACTGGAAATCCCCTGTTAGGATTCGATGGCAAGAGGGTGGAGCCCGTCGGAATGGTGGAAGTAGAAGTTCAAGCTGCAGAACGAGCTCTTATGGAAACTTTTGTGGTTGTAGAGATTCACCCCTCGTACAATCTCCTGATGGGAAGAGGATGGATTCACAGAGTCCAAGGTGTATCCTCAACTTTGCATCAGGTCATGAGGTGCCTCGGACCCGATGGAAATAAGGTGATAGACATTCGTGGGGATCAGGTTGCAGCCAAAGAGTGTTATTCCGTCACACTAAAGTATGCTGGGAAAGCGAAGGCGCCCGTCCGATCGGCAAGCCCCAGATAGCAATTACATGAACCTCCGCCCAAGCAGAACAGGGTGGAGGAGTCAGTTGACTTGACCGAAGAGCCCCTTCTGGATGTGCAGATCGATCAGTCCAGGCCAGAGCGAACTACCAGAGTAGGAATAAGACTAACCAGGGAAGAGCAGCAAGAGCTAGTTGACTTCTTGTCTCACAATGTCGATGTATTTGCATGGAGTCACCTAGTCATGCCTGGAATTAATCCCTCCGTATCCTGTCATTCCTTGAATGTCAATCCCAATTTCAAACCAGTAAAAAAAAAGCAACGAAGATTTGCTCCAGAACGCAACCAAATCATAGCCGAGGAAGTTGATAGGCTGCTTGATGCGGGATTTATCAGAGAAGTACACTACCCTGATTGGTTGTCCAACGTCGTTGTCGTGCAGAAGAAGAATGGGAAATGGCGAGTATGCATTGATTTCACCAATTTGAACAAAGCCTGTCCGAAGGATAGCTTCCCGCTGCCAAAGATTGATCAAATGGTGGATGCCACCACCGGGTATGAGCGTTTGACCTTTCTGGACGCTTATTCAGGTTATAATCAGATCCCTATGAACCCGGCAGATGAAGAAAAAACTTCTTTTGTAACCGAGCGAGGGACATACTGCTACAAAGTTATGCCTTTCGGACTAAAGAACGCGGGAGCAACTTATCAAAGACTTGTTAGCAAAATTTTCAAGGATCAAATAGGAAAGATTGTGGAAGCCTATATTGATGATATGGTGGTAAAGAGTAGGAAGAAGGATGATCATCTGAAACATCTGCAAGATGTATTTGATGTGCTGAGGCGATATGGGATGAGGCTCAATCCAACCAAGTGCTCGTTCGGTGTGAGTTCCGGTCAGTTTTTGGGACACGTGGTCAACCGCAGAGGCATCGAAGTTAGCCCCGCTCAAGCAGAGGCTTTGATTAAGAATGCCGAGCCAAAGACGATCAGAGAGGTGCAAGCCCTCACAGGACGAATAGCTGCATTAAGTCGATTCATTTCTAAGTTGTCAGACCGCTGCAAGCCGTTCTTTGACACGATTCGGAGTCATGGAAGACAGGTCTGGGGAGATGAGCAACGACAAGCACTGACCCATTTGAAGGAATATATGCAGAATCCACTAGTCCTGTCAGCCCCGGATCCAGAAGAAAAGTTATTTTTATATCTTGGAGTATCTAGTGTTGCGACGAGTGCCGTTCTGATTCGTTGCAAGGAAGGGGTGCAACACTCGGTATTTTATGTCAGTAAAACAATGACCGAGGTAGAACGAAGATACTCGAAGGCCGAACGGGTGATACTTGCACTTGTAAACGCAAAAAGAAAGTTGAAGCATTATTTCGAATCCCACCCTATAGCTGTTCTAACAACTTTTCCAATCAGAGTGCTTATGCACAAGCCAGAACTCTCGGGCAGAAT